ATGCTGCCTCTATGCTGCCTCTATGCTGCCTCTATGCTGCCTCTATGCTGCCTCTATGCTGCCTCTATGCTGCCTCTATGCTGCCTCTATGCTGCCTCTATGCTGCCTCTATGCTGCCTCTATGCTGCCTCTATGCTGCCTCTATGCTGCCTCTATGCTGCCTCTATGCTGCCTCTATGCTGCCTCTATGCTGCCTCTATGCTGCCTCTATGCTGCCTCTATGCTGCCTCTATGCTGCCTCTATGCTGCCTCTATGCTGCCTCTATGCTGCCTCTATGCTGCCTCTATGCTGCCTCTATGCTGCCTCTATGCTGCCTCTATGCTGCCTCTATGCTGCCTCTATGCTGCCTCTATGCTGCCTCTATGCTGCCTCTATGCTGCCTCTATGCTGCCTCTATGCTGCCTCTATGCTGCCTCTATGCTGCCTCTATGCTGCCTCTATGCTGCCTCTATGCTGCCTCTATGCTGCCTCTATGCTGCCTCTATGCTGCCTCTATGCTGCCTCTATGCTGCCTCTATGCTGCCTCTATGCTGCCTCTATGCTGCCTCTATGCTGCCTCTATGCTGCCTCTATGCTGCCTCTATGCTGCCTCTATGCTGCCTCTTATGCTGCCTCTATGCTGCCTCTATGCTGCCTCTAGCTGCCTCTATGCTGCCTCTATGCTGCCTCTATGCTGCCTCTATGCTGCCTCTATGCTGCCTCTATGCTGCCTCTATGCTGCCTCTATGCTGCCTCTATGCTGCCTCTATGCTGCCTCTATGCTGCCTCTATGCTGCCTCTATGCTGCCTCTATGCTGCCTCTATGCTGCCTCTATGCTGCCTCTATGCTGCCTCTATGCTGCCTCTATGCTGCCTCTATGCTGCCTCTATGCTGCCTCTATGCTGCCTCTATGCTGCCTCTATGCTGCCTCTATGCTGCCTCTATGCTGCCTCTATGCTGCCTCTATGCTGCCTCTATGCTGCCTCTATGCTGCCTCTATGCTGCCTCTATGCTGCCTCTATGCTGCCTCTATGCTGCCTCTATGCTGCCTCTATGCTGCCTCTATGCTGCCTCTATGCTGCCTCTATGCTGCCTCTATGCTGCCTCTATGCTGCCTCTATGCTGCCTCTATGCTGCCTCTATGCTGCCTCTATGCTGCCTCTATGCTGCCTCTATGCTGCCTCTATGCTGCCTCTATGCTGCCTCTATGCTGCCTCTATGCTGCCTCTATGCTGCCTCTATGCTGCCTCTATGCTGCCTCTATGCTGCCTCTATGCTGCCTCTATGCTGCCTCTATGCTGCCTCTATGCTGCCTCTATGCTGCCTCTATGCTGCCTCTATGCTGCCTCTATGCTGCCTCTATGCTGCCTCTATGCTGCCTCTATGCTGCCTCTATGCTGCCTCTATGCTGCCTCTATGCTGCCTCTATGCTGCCTCTATGCTGCCTCTATGCTGCCTCTATGCTGCCTCTATGCTGCCTCTATGCTGCCTCTATGCTGCCTCTATGCTGCCTCTATGCTGCCTCTATGCTGCCTCTATGCTGCCTCTATGCTGCCTCTATGCTGCCTCTATGCTGCCTCTATGCTGCCTCTATGCTGCCTCTATGCTGCCTCTATGCTGCCTCTATGCTGCCTCTATGCTGCCTCTATGCTGCCTCTATGCTGCCTCTATGCTGCCTCTATGCTGCCTCTATGCTGCCTCTATGCTGCCTCTATGCTGCCTCTATGCTGCCTCTATGCTGCCTCTATGCTGCCTCTATGCTGCCTCCTATGCTGCCTCTATGCTGCCTCTATGCTGCCTCTATGCTGCCTCTATGCTGCCTCTATGCTGCCTCTATGCTGCCTCTATGCTGCCTCTATGCTGCCTCTATGCTGCCTCTATGCTGCCTCTATGCTGCCTCTATGCTGCCTCTATGCTGCCTCTATGCTGCCTCTATGCTGCCTCTATGCTGCCTCTATGCTGCCTCTATGCTGCCTCTATGCTGCCTCTATGCTGCCTCTATGCTGCCTCTATGCTGCCTCTATCTGCCTCTATGCTGCCTCTATGCTGCCTCTATGCTGCCTCTATGCTGCCTCTATGCTGCCTCTATGCTGCCTCTATGCTGCCTCTATGCTGCCTCTATGCTGCCTCTATGCTGCCTCTATGCTGCCTCTATGCTGCCTCTATGCTGCCTCTATGCTGCCTCTATGCTGCCTCTATGCTGCCTCTATGCTGCCTCTATGCTGCCTCTATGCTGCCTCTATGCTGCCTCTATGCTGCCTCTATGCTGCCTCTATGCTGCCTCTATGCTGCCTCTATGCTGCCTCTATGCTGCCTCTATGCTGCCTCTATGCTGCCTCTATGCTGCCTCTATGCTGCCTCTATGCTTGCCTCTATGCTGCCTCTATGGCCTCTATGCTGCCTCTATGCTGCCTCTATGCTGCCTCTATGCTGCCTCTATGCTGCCTCTATGCTGCCTCTATGCTGCCTCTATGCTGCCTCTATGCTGCCTCTATGCTGCCTCTATGCTGCCTCTATGCTGCCTCTATGCTGCCTCTATGCTGCCTCTATGCTGCCTCTATGCTGCCTCTATGCTGCCTCTATGCTGCCTCTATGCTGCCTCTATGCTGCCTCTATGCTGCCTCTATGCTGCCTCTATGCTGCCTCTATGCTGCCTCTATGCTGCCTCTATGCTGCCTCTATGCTGCCTCTATGCTGCCTCTATGCTGCCTCTATGCTGCCTCTATGCTGCCTCTATGCTGCCTCTATGCTGCCTCTATGCTGCCTCTATGCTGCCTCTATGCTGCCTCTATGCTGCCTCTATGCTGCCTCTATGCTGCCTCTATGCTGCCTCTATGCTGCCTCTATGCTGCCTCTATGCTGCCTCTATGCTGCCTCTATGCTGCCTCTATGCTGCCTCTATGCTGCCTCTATGCTGCCTCTATGCTGCCTCTATGCTGCCTCTATGCTGCCTCTATGCTGCCTCTATGCTGCCTCTATGCTGCCTCTATGCTGCCTCTATGCTGCCTCTATGCTGCCTCTATGCTGCCTCTATGCTGCCTCTATGCTGCCTCTATGCTGCCTCTATGCTGCCTCTATGCTGCCTCTATGCTGCCTCTATGCTGCCTCTATGCTGCCTCTATGCTGCCTCTATGCTGCCTCTATGCTGCCTCTATGCTGCCTCTATGCTGCCTCTATGCTGCCTCTATGCTGCCTCTATGCTGCCTCTATGCTGCCTCTATGCTGCCTCTATGCTGCCTCTATGCTGCCTCTATGCTGCCTCTATGCTGCCTCTATGCTGCCTCTATGCTGCCTCTATGCTGCCTCTATGCTGCCTCTATGCTGCCTCTATGCTGCCTCTATGCTGCCTCTATGCTGCCTCTATGCTGCCTCTATGCTGCCTCTATGCTGCCTCTATGCTGCCTCTATGCTGCCTCTATGCTGCCTCTATGCTGCCTCTATGCTGCCTCTATGCTGCCTCTATGCTGCCTCTATGCTGCCTCTATGCTGCCTCTATGCTGCCTCTATGCTGCCTCTATGCTGCCTCTATGCTGCCTCTATGCTGCCTCTATGCTGCCTCTATGCTGCCTCTATGCTGCCTCTATGCTGCCTCTATGCTGCCTCTATGCTGCCTCTATGCTGCCTCTATGCTGCCTCTATGCTGCCTCTATGCTGCCTCTATGCTGCCTCTATGCTGCCTCTATGCTGCCTCTATGCTGCCTCTATGCTGCCTCTATGCTGCCTCTATGCTGCCTCTATGCTGCCTCTATGCTGCCTCTATGCTGCCTCTATGCTGCCTCTATGCTGCCTCTATGCTGCCTCTATGCTGCCTCTATGCTGCCTCTATGCTGCCTCTATGCTGCCTCTATGCTGCCTCTATGCTGCCTCTATGCTGCCTCTATGCTGCCTCTATGCTGCCTCTATGCTGCCTCTATGCTGCCTCTATGCTGCCTCTATGCTGCCTCTATGCTGCCTCTATGCTGCCTCTATGCTGCCTCTATGCTGCCTCTATGCTGCCTCTATGCTGCCTCTATGCTGCCTCTATGCTGCCTCTATGCTGCCTCTATGCTGCCTCTATGCTGCCTCTATGCTGCCTCTATGCTGCCTCTATGCTGCCTCTATGCTGCCTCTATGCTGCCTCTATGCTGCCTCTATGCTGCCTCTATGCTGCCTCTATGCTGCCTCTATGCTGCCTCTATGCTGCCTCTATGCTGCCTCTATGCTGCCTCTATGCTGCCTCTATGCTGCCTCTATGCTGCCTCTATGCTGCCTCTATGCTGCCTCTATGCTGCCTCTATGCTGCCTCTATGCTGCCTCTATGCTGCCTCTATGCTGCCTCTATGCTGCCTCTATGCTGCCTCTATGCTGCCTCTATGCTGCCTCTATGCTGCCTCTATGCTGCCTCTATGCTGCCTCTATGCTGCCTCTATGCTGCCTCTATGCTGCCTCTATGCTGCCTCTATGCTGCCTCTATGCTGCCTCTATGCTGCCTCTATGCTGCCTCTATGCTGCCTCTATGCTGCCTCTATGCTGCCTCTATGCTGCCTCTATGCTGCCTCTATGCTGCCTCTATGCTGCCTCTATGCTGCCTCTATGCTGCCTCTATGCTGCCTCTATGCTGCCTCTATGCTGCCTCTATGCTGCCTCTATGCTGCCTCTATGCTGCCTCTATGCTGCCTCTATGCTGCCTCTCCACCACAGCCTCATCCACCCAAGCCACCTCACTCACCCGCCCATGCCCTCTCACCTTTGTCTGGTGAGCACCAGTTGCCCCACAGGGTCGGCTCGAGGCAGCATGGAGAGGGCAGTCAGATCAACCAACACAGCATCCGCCACATAGCCGGGCTTTATTTTCGCCCCTGCTCGCCTTGCGCTCTAGAAGCACCTCTGCAAGAGATGAGATGTTTTTTGAGTCGACTAAAAAATCGTCTCATCACACGTAGCCAGTCTTGATCGCCCCTGCTCGCCCTTGCGCTCTAGAAGCACCTCTGCAAGAGACTTCCTCACCAGCATTCCCCATCAGCCCTCCCACCCTCTCACCTTTGTCTGGTGAGCACCAATTGCCCCACAGGGTCGGCTCGAGGCAGCATGGAGAGGGCAGTCAGATCCACCAACACAGCATCCGCCACGTAGCCAGGCTTGATTTGACCCGCCCGCCCTCTCATGCCCACTGCGGCCGCCCCTCCCTCTGCTGCCATTCTGAGCACCTCCCTCGGGGACAACCAGTGGCGATACTCAGGGGTTGTGAGCTGCGGTGAGAGGAGATGTATTCAGGGAAGGAAGTAGGAGAGAAGAGGGACAAGAGGAAGGCAGTTGATAGAAGGCGAGAGCTTCTTGGATATATATATACATATATATATATACAAATATGTAAATATATATATATGTATAAGCATGTACACTACGCTTTAATTACCATACATACATGCACATTATATACACTGCATCTACACTGCACGTATTGCTTACTCTCGGGATTGACGATACACGCCATCTTCAGGGCTTCTAGCATGTCCTGCAAGTCGTTTGAGCACTGCCCATCGCCACCCTATCTCTGTGACTAGTGCATGTGTGGACATATACTCACAGGGTTGACAATACACGCCATCTTCAGGGCTTCTAGCATGTCCTGAGAGTCGTTCGAGCACTGCCCATCGCACCCGATAGGCATAACCATCGCACCCATTTACCTGCCTGCTCCTCCTGTTAGATTGTAAAAGCATCTGCATACTCACGGGATTCACACCACATTCCATCTTCACGGCTTCAAGCATGTCCTGAGAGTCGATCCAGCACTGCCCATCAGTGTGTGGTCGGTCAGTCTGTTATTAGTAAACAGGTGGGCTGCGGAGGTCTGATGGCACTGCCCATCAGTGTGTGGTCGGTCAGTCTGTTATTAGTAAACAGGTGGGCTGCGGAGGTCTGATGGCACTGCCCATCAGTGTGTGGTCGGTCAGTCTGTTATTAGTAAACAGGTGGGCTGCGGAGGTCTGATGGCACTGCCCATCAGTGTGTGGTCGGTCAGTCTGTTATTAGTAAACAGGTGGGCTGCGGAGGTCTGATGGCACTGCCCATCAGTGTGTGGTCGGTCAGTCTGTTATTAGTAAACAGGTGGGCTGCGGAGGTCTGATGGCACTGCCCATCAGTGTGTGGTCGGTCAGTCTGTTATTAGTAAACAGGTGGGCTGCGGAGGTCTGATGGCACTGCCCATCAGTGTGTGGTTGGTCAGTCTGTTATTAGTAAACAGGTGGGCTGCGGAGGTCTGATGGCACTGCCCATCAGTGTGTGGTTGGTCAGTCTGTTATTAGTAAACAGGTGGGCTGCGGAGGTCTGATGGCACTGCCCATCAGTGTGTGGTCAGTCAGTCTGTTATTAGTAAACAGGTGGGCTGCGGAGGTCTGATGGCACTGCCCATCAGTGTGTGGTCGGTCAGTCTGTTATTAGTAAACAGGTGGGCTGCGGAGGTCTGATGGCACTGCCCATCAGTGTGTGGTCGGTCAGTCTGTTATTAGTAAACAGGTGGGCTGCGGAGGTCTGATGGCACTGCCCATCAGTGTGTGGTCGGTCAGTCTGCCTGCACATATGGTTACTCACAGGGTTGACAATGCACGCCATCTTCACGGCTTCAAGCATGTCCTGAGAGTCGTTGGAGCACTGCCCGTCGCACCCGATAGCCACGGTTATGCCCTTATCGAGGTACGCTCTTATGGGAGCAACGCCCGAGCCGAGGCGAAGGTTGGAGACGGGGTTGTGCACGGCCACTGCGCCACACTCCGCCATGATTGCTTGCTCCTCGTCCTCCTGAAAAAGAGGTACGTACACGAGGGGGGGAAGTCAAAATGGAAGCAGGCACATGGAAATTGGAATGGGGGCAATGGCAGAGCCGAGACGGATGTTGGAGACGGGGTTATGCACGGCCACTGCCCCACACTCCGCCATGATGGCTTGCTCCTCCTCCTCCTCCTGGGAATTGAATATGAGAGGAGACTGAATAGAAGCAAGCAGGCATATGGGATTGGAGCAATGGCAGAGCTGAGCCGGAGGTTGGAGACTGGGTTATGGACGGAGAGTCGGCAGAGCCGAGCCGGAGGTTAGGGAAAGAGTGCAGGTGGGATCGAGTGATGGCGAGAGTGAGTGATGGTGGGTGGGAGTGAGATGTGATGGGATGGGACGACATGTGCAGATAAAATTAGCCCCAGCTCACCAACTGCAAGGGGTGTACTGTGCTTATTAGCCCCAGCTCACCAACTACAGGGCGTGTGCTGTGCTTATTAGCCCCAGCTCACCAACTACAAGGGGTGTGCTGTGCTTATTAGCCCCAGCTCACCAACTACAAGGGGTGTGCTGTGCTTATTAGCCCCAGCTCACCAACTACAGGGCGTGTGCTGTGCTTATTAGCCCCACACACCATCCATCCAACTCACCAGCCACACACAGTGAGCACAGGAGGTCCCAAGGAGGGACAGCAATCCGATTAGAGCAACGCGCACTATCGGACTCACACACACCATCTGTTTAACTCACCAGCCACACGCAGTGCGCACAGGAGGTCCCAGGGAGGGACAGCCATCCGATGTCTTTCAGAAGCTTCACACACCCGCCGTCCGGGTAACGCGATCGGCTCTGCAGCCTGATGGTGCGGGGGTTGCGGAGAGGAAACAGGAGAGGGGGAAGCTTCAGCAAATGATGATCCTTTGAGGGTGCCTCAGAAGCTTCACACACCCGCCATCCGGGTAGCGCGACCGGCTCTGCAGCCTGAATAGGCGGATGGGGAAATGGGAGAAGGAAGGAGGAGAAACATTATCAGGGCAGCTCAAAAGGAGGTGAAGGGGAGGAAGGAAGGAGGTGTGTATGCTTGGTGGTGTGTGCAGGATACTGTTGCACTTTCTCCTCTCTGCTCTCTGCTCACTTTTGCATCCGTGATTCCAGCAAGTGGATGTGACCGCACAGCCCAAACTCCAAATCAGTTGTAGGTATGCGTGGTGTGTGCAGGATACTGTTGCTCCTGCTTACTGCTAGCTTCTGCTTTCTGCTCTCTGCTTACTTTTGCATCCGTGATTCCAGCAAGTGGATGTGACCGCACAGCCCAAACTCCTTTCGGATGTCCACTGCCCTCCGGATCAGCTCGTCCTGAGGTGAGAAGAGAGTTTATGGGAGAAGAGAGTGCGGCATAGGGAGGGATTATGGGAGGGATGCAACAAGGCTTTGTGAGTCAATGCAAGTCAGCGCGAGTCAATGCAAGTCAGCGCGAGTCAATGCAAGTCAGCGCGAGTCAATGCAAGTCAGCGCGAGTCAATGCACGTCAACACAAGTCAACGGGAGTCAACTCACAGAAGCACCCCAGTTCTGCACGGGACCAATCACAATGTTGATGCCGCCCTCTGGGTCGTGAAACTTCTGCACAGCTTCCCTCCAGAGGGAAAGGACCCTCTCGGTGTTGGCCTCCTGTGGAGAGACGAGGGAAGAGGGGCGGATGGGAGGAGGGGAGGAGGGGAGGAGGGGAGGAGGGTAGGAGGGGAGGAGGGTAGGAGGGGAGGAGGGTAGGAGGGGAGGAGGGTAGGAGGGGAGGAGGGTAGGAGGGGAGGAGGGGAGGAGGGGAGGAGGGGAGGAGGGGATTCAAAAGTCACCCCACTGAAACCTCACCTGTCGCTCTGCCAGTTGCTCCCTGAATATGCCATCGCTCCACATGGCTCCTCCAGAGCAATTGCACAGCAGCAACAGCCAAACACCCCTCCTCCAGAGCAATTGCACAGCAGCAACAGCCAAACACCCCTCCTCCAGAGCAATTGCACAGCAGCAACAGCCAAACACCCCTCCTCCAGAGCAATTGCACAGCAGCAACAGCCAAACACCCCTCCTCCAGAGCAATTGCACAGCAGCAACAGCCAAACACCCCTCCTCCAGAGCAATTGCACAGCAGCAACAGCCAAACACCCCTCCTCCAGAGCAATTGCACAGCAGCAACAGCCAAACACCCCTCCTCCAGAGCAATTGCACAGCAGCAACAGCCAAACACCCCTCCTCCAGAGCAATTGCACAGCAGCAACAGCCAAACACCCCTCCTCCAGAGCAATTGCACAGCAGCAACAGCCAAACACCCCTCCTCCAGAGCAATTGCACAGCAGCAACAGCCAAACACCCCTCCTCCAGAGAAATTGCACAGCAGCAACAGCCAAACACCCCTCCTCCAGAGCAATTGCACAGCAGCAACAGCCAAACACCCCTCCTCCAGAGCAATTGCAAGCAACAGCCAAACACCCCTCCTCCAGAGCAATTGCACAGCAGCAACAGCCAAACACCCCTCCTCCAGAGCAATTGCACAGCAGCAACAGCCAAACACCCCTCCTCCAGAGCAATTGCACAGCAGCAACAGCCAAACACCCCTCCTCCAGAGCAATTGCAAGCAACAGCCAAACACCCCTCCTCCGCCCCAACACTTCACACCCACCTGCCGCTCAGCCAGTTGCTCCCTGAAATAACCGTCAGTACCCATGGCGCCCGGGCACACCCCGTCCTGCCTCGCCCTCTCGTTGCGCTCGCAGGCGTCCGGCACCAAGGGGAAGTAGTTCTGGTAATGGGGGAAGGGGGAGGAGAGAAGTGGGGAGGAACGGGGGGGAAGGGTTGTCAGCACGGGGTGCAGCACCATCTCTTGACTTTTGAGTCGACTCAAAAGAGGTGACTTTTGAGTCGACTCAAAAGAGAGGTGGGGAGGAACGGGGGGGAAGGGTTGTCAGCACGGGGTGCAGCACCATCTCTTGTACTGCAAGGGCACGCCCCCTCCCCCCTCGCCCTCTCGTTGCGCTCGCAGGCATCTGGCACCAAGGGAAAGTAGTTCTGGTGGGGGGGGGAAGGAGAAGGGTGGGAGGTGCGGAGAGGAGAAAGGGGAAAGTTGTTTCGGCTGGGATGCACCGTGCAGCAGGCACACTCCTTCCTGCCTCGCCCTCCCGTTGCACGCACAGGCTCCGTTGACATCAAGGGGAAGTAGTCGGTTTTTGAGTCGACTCAAAAACCGACACTGGCTCCCTTGACGTCAAGGGGAAGTAGTTCTGGTATGGGGGGTTGGGGGAGAGTGAAGGGATTAGTTTTGAGGGTTCTAAGAAGGGCAGAGATGGTGATTGTAGGGTAATAGGTAGCCCCCATTGCTGCATGTTCAGACATTTCAATAGGTAGCCCCCATTGCTGCATGTTCAGACATTTCAGTAGGTAGCCCCCATTGCTGCATGTTCAGACATTTCAATAGGTAGCCCCCATTGCTGCATGTTCAGACATTTCAGTAGGTAGCCCCCATTGCTGCATGTTCAGACATTTCAGTAGGTAGCCCCCATTGCTGCATGTTCAGACATTTCAGTAGGTAGCCCCCATTGCTGCATGTTCAGACATTTCAATAGGTAGCCCCCATTGCTGCATGTTCAGACATTTCAATAGGTAGCCCCCATTGGTGCAGTGGAGGAGGAATTGACAAGGTGAGTGAAATTGACCGCCGTCTCAAGGCGTGAAGAACGGAAAGAAAGAAAGGTTGAAAGGAAGGGAGATGGACTTACTGAGACGTCTAAATCGCCCAGCATACTGCACACAGGGCACACGGGGGGCACAGGGAATGGAGGGTCGTGAGGGGTAGTGGCAATGGAGGCAAGGGGTGGGACCCACAGAGTGAGTGAGGGGTCTACAATGGGAAAAGGGGCTCGGAGCTTCTCCTAAAACGTTCCGTTCCGTTTGCCTCCGGTTGCGACGGAGACACAAGTATGCTTAGGTTGTTTCAAAGGTCACAAAAAGGAAGACCGTACCACAACAAGAGGGACGCATGAGGTGATGAAGCCACGGAGATCGTTCGGGGAAACACGGAGTGGAGTGGAGTGGAGTGGAGTGGAGTGGAGTGGAGTGGAGTGGGAGTGGATGTGGCGTGGAATGGAGTGGCACGCACGGGGCAATGAAGGCTCGAATGCCAACGTGCTTGTATGCCCGCACTGCTGCCTCGAGGTCTGATAGATCCCGGATGTACCTGGGGGGATAGCCGCGAGGGGGGGTGGGAAACGGTGTGAAATGGGGTTGGGTGGAACAGGGGTGACATTGGGGGGCACGGGGGAACGGTGTGAAATGGGGTTGGGTGGAACAGGGGTGACATTGGGGGGCACGGGGGATGCTGACGTGCTTGTATGCCCGCACTGCTGCCTCGAGGTCTGATAGGTCTCGGATGTACCTGCGAGAGGTGAAGCGGTGGGGAATGGGGTTGGAATGGGGGGGAGCTGGGGGGTGAACTTGGGGGATGGGGAGAATGCTGACGTGCTTGTATGCCCGCACTGCTGCCTCGAGATCTGATAGATCCCGGATGTAGCTGGGGGGATTGAGGGGGGAGAGTGACGCGGGAATAGGAGGGGCATTAGGGTTGGAATGGGGGAAAATGAAGGGAAGGGAAGTGAGGTTGACATGGTTGGGACAGGAAGCGGTTAAGCGAATGTGATACAGACAAAGATAAGAAAGGGTACATGTAGCCGACGTTTTAATGCGGTGTAGAAGTATCGGAGAGGAGTGGAGAGGCTTGGAGAGGCGTGGAGCAGCAGCAGAGGGGGAGGGAAGAGTGGCAGAGAGGGGTGGAGAAGGGTAGAGAGGTATACTCACAGGTGATCCATCACGGCTGTGCCGCCAGTCATGACGGTCTCTATTGCCGTGTGTACTGCTGCCCAATACACCTGGCAGTGTGGTGAAGTGCGGTGGGATGTGGTACGGTGAGGTGTAGTGCAGTGTGGTGTGGTGGGATCAAGTTTAATGCGGTTGGTGTGGTGTGGTATGCCAAATTGAGTGACATAACACCGCTCCTCACCCTCACCACACCACCCCATCCCTTCCCCCCTCAACCCCACTCCATCACGCCATTCCGCCCCTTCAAACCGAGCTCCACCCTTACACTCCCCTCCCATCACTACACCCCTCCCTCCCCTCGCCTCTCTTCAACGCACCCCTCCCCTCCCTCTCTCACCACATCCGGAGAAACCGAGGGGTTGGGACCTCGGGGGTCCATGTGGGTAAAAAGCGAAGTTACCCACAGCTCCAGAGGCTGGAACGGAGGGTAAGAGGAAGCAGGGGCATCGTGTATGAATAACAAACAAAGAATGAATCAAGAGAAACGGGTGAAAAAAACAAAAAAAAATCAAGTACGACGATTTTTTTCTGTGACAATTCGCACTCCCCAGCAGCTAATCCTGCCATTCATCTCATTATAAGGCGTCTTGTCTCACCAAAGGCGTTTCACCTCACCAAACCGTGTTAAATCTCACTGAACTTTGTTACATCTCACCAGAGGCACGCTCCCTCCTCTGCCCCATGCCTCTATGCTGTGCGTGTGTGCGTTGACCATCCCTGGCAGCAGCTGACTCAAAGAAAGAGCGCAGGAGAGTAGCAGGAGCAGGGGAAGCGGAGGAGGGAGGAGGGAGACGAAAAAAATATGGAGAGAGTGGTTACTTACACAGTAAGCAGAGGGAGGGTCTATGGACATTGTTGCAGAGGATGTAATTTAAAAGGACGTACCATCTTATTGGTTCCGTCTATAACGTGTACAGCCCTGCCACCCGCTGAAGCTGCGTCACCAGCCTCGGCACCAGGAGCAGCATCACAAACAGTACTATCAGCAGCACCACCAGCGCCATCAGCGGCAGCAGCGGCAGCGGCGTGAGTGACGGCGTGGGGTGTGATGGGGGATGTGCGGACCACCGACTCGATCACTCCGCGAGACATGCGCACAGTGAACCGCGCGTAACTGGGGGGGAGGGGAGGGGATGGGGGGAAGGGGATGGGGGGGTGGGGGGTTGGGGAGGGGAGAGGGGAACGGGTAGGGAGCACGAGGATTAAGCACGGCGCGGGAAGTAGCTGCTCAAGGGACCACTCACGCGACTAATCCCGAGCCTACCCGTTCATGGGATTTCCGTCTTCGTCGGCGTCCACCGGCATAAGCACGTTCGTTATAAGGTAGTCCACGTCGGCCGCCTGCTGCGCCGGCACTACCGCCGCTGGCGCCGCCATTCGGCCAACAGACACGGAGGCGCGAGGCTGCCGCTAGGAGTATTTATGTTTCCGATATAACGAAGCGCTAACTCATTTACTAGCCTCGTCTGATCAACAAATTTAGGATGGGAGAGGTGATAAACGAATTGTTCTCGATATCAGCACGTAGCGTTACTAGGCCGAAACCAATTTCTGGAGCTATATTTCCCAGCATTGTACACATTTATTCCGTACAACAAAATGGTTCCCTACTGCGTACACCAAAAAACCCGAAAACAAAATCGTACGTTGCAGACAAAATACATTTCGAATGAAATGAGTGATCGCGTTGGGTAATACAGAACCAGTTTTTCTCGAGTTCTGCTAGGTCGCGCGCACACTTCAGTCCCTTCCCGCCATTTCCTTTCCTTCCGCCCCGCGCTCACTCCGCCACGCCTCCCGCCGACGCCGCCGCTGCTGTTCTCGCCGTTTACGCGTGCCGCGCCGGCTTTCCGCGAAGATGGTGTTTAAGGGGAAGCCGTCGTTCGATGTAACGCCGCCGGACGATTTCGACCCGAAGAACCCTTACGCGGATCCCGTGGCGATGCTCGAGCATCGCGAATGGCTGGTTCGCGAAAAGATGGTCGCGATCGAGCGTGCGAAGTTGCTTCGCGAACAGTTGAAGCAGTGTTACCGCACGGAGGGGGTGAATCATATTAAGAACTGTAGCGAGCTGGTGCAGAAATACCTGTCGTCGATTAAGAACGTCGGGTGGGGTAAGGACACGCGGATCCACAGGCTCTACAGCGAAACCGCGGAGCAGAGCTGATCTTGTAACGGGACGATCTTATAACGAGGCTATGTTGCGATACGGTGAGCAATGGGGTAGGCACGGATGGGATTCGTAGAAACCTAAGAGCCTACTTAGAGACGTCGTTATGAAGAGAGGGAGAGCGGGAGAGAGGAACAGGGGGATCGAAGAGGAGGTGGTAGGGAGTTGGGAGTGGGAATGTGAGTGGGTGTGGGGGAATGGGGGAACGAGGGGCCTAGCTGGAAACTTCTAGGTCGAGTTAAGAGTAGAGAGATAGGAGATGAGTGCAGGTGGGATGAGGGAGAAGCGAGACGTGGACAAGAGGAAGGGTGGAGAGTGAGGAGTGTGTAATGTGATAATAAAAGTGGGAGAACCATGAAAGGACTTTATGGGATAGTGATAAGGACGAGACATAAGGAGGCAAAAGGGGACGGTCAGGGGGGTTGTCATGCATGGGATGGGATAATGTCGCATGTGATTGTAGAAGTGGGAGAACCATGAAAGGAATATATCGGATAGTGATAAGGACGAGACATAAGGAGGCAGAAGGGGACTGGGGGGGGGGGGGTCATTCATGAATGGGATGACGTCTGAGGTGTCATACATGAAACGACACCCATACTTGGAACGATACATCATACATGAAACGACACCTCGGGGTGTCGTTTACAAGGTATCATGCATCAAGTGCAAGTCCATGCATATGGTCACATGATGCTGGATCGATTTGACCTTTCAGTCAACTCAAAGGCCAGTTATCAGGTGCAAGTCCATGCTTATGGTCACATGTTGCTAGATAAATATGGCCACTCGTTGGGGTGTTGGTGAGTCTGGTGTAGAGCATGCACATCCCATGCACTCACATGTTATGTCTAATTTTGAGACATCTCAAAACGTCTTAAAAGTTGTGAGACGTCTCAAGACTGGTGTGGAGCATGCACATCCCATGCACTCACATGTCTAATGTTGAGACGTCGCAAAACGTCTCAAAAGCATTGAGTTGAGACGTCTCAATACTGGTGTGGAGCTTGCACATCCCATGCACTCGCATGTCTAATGCTTGCATACCTCCCATCCTATCGTCCCATCCTGTGTTTGGTTTCAGGAGCTGCACTGGAGAGCAGACAATGCAGGTGCTGGGATTAATCACTCCAGCCGTACATTACATTACATTACATTACATTACATTACATTACATGGCATGCCTATTGATATACTCTCTCAAAACCAGATGCGGTTCTCTAATTCATATTCGGCTGTAGTACTGATTGGCTCCTACAGTTCATGTGTGTATGTACTTAGCGTTACTACCAAAAGTTGATGTGGGTCGAATCATTTCATGTGGAGTGCTGCATTTGCACAACCATTGTCACTATGAGTGTGCAAATGCTTCCCAAAACACCTCAACTTTTTCCGTTTCTGTACAATGCACTGCTGGAAACAGCTTGTCTGACAGGCAAGAGAAAGACTACAAAGTACAACTTGCAGTACAATACCCATGTTTCATTCATCACGTCTCAGCACAGCAGGCATCCCTCACATCACACCCAGTCACACACTCGCTCCTGACTGCTCCGGCTGCTCTTTCAACCCCCTACACCACATTCTCTATGTCTCAATCAACTCAGCAACACTCATGCGACTGGGTTTCCCTCACGGTTTGCTGCACTCCTACTCTCCGCCCTCTAGAACCTCAACAACAACACCCCAAGCAGCAGCTGCCTTAACGAGCCCACCCCTCAGGGGAATGCGGGTTTGCGCCTATGCATCAGGAATTAAGTCTCCCTCACACCCAACCGCACACTCTACTCTCCGCCCTTCTAAACATGAACACCCCAAGCATCTGCTTTAGCAAGCCCACCACTCAGGGGAATGGGGGCTTGCGCCTGGTCCAGGAAGCATCATGCGACTGGGTCTCCCTCACACTCACACTCCTACTCTCCGCCCTCCTGAACCCAAACACCCCAAGCAGCAGCTGCTTCATCCGCCCTGGCCTCCACTCAGGGGAATGGGGGCTTGCGCCTGGTCCAGGAAGCATCATGCGACTGGGTCTCCCTCACACTCACACTCCTACTCTCCGCTCTCCTGAACCTAAACACCCCAAGCAGCTGCCTGAACGCGCTCCTCCCTCCTCCCCCACCTCCCTCTCCCCCTCCTCTCCTCCCTCCCTCTCCCCCTCCTCCCCCTCCCCCTCCCTCTCCTCCTCCTTCCCCTCCTCCGCTGCTTCCCCCAACTCCTCGTCGGCGGCTGTGACTACGGGGAACGTGACTCAAACGATCCATATCCCCCGAATTCCAATCCCTAGAAAACTCACTATCTCCCCCATACGACCTCGACAGGTCCATCAACCCGTCCCCCTGATCGCACTCGGACTCATTTCGAGTCGGCTCAAAGCTAATCTCGTGCCTCTGGTTCTGCCCCAGGTGGCTTCCGTTAACCTGGTGCAAAGCGTGCTGAGACTGCTGGTTGTGCTGCTGCTGCTGGTGATGGTGGTGGTGCAGCTGCTGGGTCTGCTGCTGGTGGGAGCTGTCATTGCTGCAAACCGAGAGATCAGAGGTCGACGTATTAGCAGAAAGCACACGCTCAACACCCCCCAGCGCGGCTGGCTCAGAGCATGTTCTCACCACCTCCAAATTCTCCTTGCTCCCCCTAGCCCTTTGCCCGAAGGTGCTGCTGCCAATCCAGGTGCTGCTCGCTTGGTTTTCCTCAGCTGCCGCTGCTGCCGCTGCTGCTAATGATGGTGAAGCTGACGCGGAAGCAACAGAGCCGGTTGTTGCTGTCTGTGCGCGTGCCAGTGCCGCAAATGGTGATGCTGATTCTGTTCTTGCTGTCTGTGCGCGTGCGAGTGCCACGGGCCTTGCGGCACTGGCTGTTGCTGTTGCAGCCGATGCTGCTCGGGCTAGATCCTGCAGCCTAGAATCCAAATCCCTTCCCATTAAAGCCCTTGCTAACGGTTCACGTGCTGCTGCTGTTGCTTCTGCTGCTGTTGCTGCTTGTGCTGTTACTGCTGCTCCTGCAACTGTTGCTGATGTCGGTCCTGCTGGTGCTGCAGCTGACGCCACTCTAGCCAGATCCCTCAGCTTGGCATCAACACCTCGCCCTGAAGCAACCCGCAATAGCGGCGGCTGTGCCTCTCCAGCTTCTGCTGTTGCTGGTCGTTCCAAGCCTGCTGTTCCTGCTACCACTGCTGCAACAGCTGCTGCTGCCGGTAGTGCAGGTGTTGCTGCTGATCCAGCTGCTGTTGCTGCAGCTGTCGCCACTCTCGCCAGATCCCTCAGCTTGGCATCAACGTCTTGCCCTGATGTGGCCCGCAATAGCGGCGGCTGTATCGCTGCTGTCGGTACTGTTGGTGGTGCTGCTGCTGCGGTTCCAGCTGCTTGTGCTGCTTGTGCTGCTTGTGCTGCTGGTGCTGCTGGTGCTGCTTGTGCTGCTTGTGCTGCTGGTGCTGCTTGTGCTGCTTGTGCTGCTTGTGCTGCTGGTGCTGCTGGTGCTGCTGGTGCTGCTGGTGAAGCAGCTGACGCCACTCTAGCCAGATCTCTCAGCTTTGAATGTAGGTCTTGCCCTGATGTGGCACGCACTAGCAGTGGCTGTGCTGGTGCTGCTGGTACTGCTGGTGCTGCTGGTGCTGCTGGTACCGCTGGTGCTGCTGGTACCGCTGGTGCTGCTGCGATTCCAGCTGCTGCTGCTGCAGCTGACGCCACTCTAGCCAGATCTCTCAGTTTAGCATCAACGTCTCGCCCTGATATGGCTCGCATTAGCGGTGGCTGTGCTGCTGCTGCTGCTCCGGCTGTTGCTGGTCGCTCCGTTGCTGCTTCTGCAGCAGCACCAGCAGTGGCAGCAGCGGCACCAGCAGTGGCAGCAACGGCACCAGCAGTGGCAGCAGCGGCAGCACCACCAACATCAACAGCAGCACCAGCAGTGGCAGCAGTAGCAGCACCACCACAACCAACAGCAACACCAACAGCAGCAAAGTCAAGCCCTTGAGCCTGGAGCCCCATCAGGTGCTTGTGCAAGTTCTCTATCCGGCTATTCTGACCCATCTCAGGGGCTTTCTCAGGTGTCCACAGGTTAAATGACATGCTACTCCCTTTAGGCGAGGCAGTGGGGGAACACCTGGGCGAATACCTGGGAGAACACCTGACCTTATCTTTCCCTCTTTCCTCCTTTGCTGCTTTGCTGGCAATCCCCAAGCAAAGAGAGATCTCATTTGCTCCTAGGGCGTGTTCCGTGCAGGTTGCCGCATCATCACCATCATCAGCACCATCACCAGCACCACCACCAAAACCACCAGCAGCAGCACCACCACCAGCACCGGCAACACCACCGTAACTATCAGAACCCTTACAAGCCCAAGCGGACAGCCCTGGTGCTGCTGGGCTGCGTCTGGGGGAGGCGTTACCTGGTGGACTGCGTCTGAGGGAGGCGTTAGCCGCTGGGCTGCATCTGGGGGAGGTATTACCTGGCTGAGGGGCTTTACCTGATAAGTAGGCATTCGCTCTGGGGATGCGCCCTGTTCCTTCTGCTTCAGAGGGAGAAACATCTGGGGAAGGTGGAACTGCAGTGGTAGTTTGGCTGCTGCTGCTGCCACTGCTGTTGGTGCTGCCGCTATGGCTGCTACTAATGCTGCTGCTGCTGCTGTTGCTGCTGGGACCGTTGCTGCCACTGCTGTTGCCGTTGCTGCCACTGCTGTTGCCGTTGCTGCCGCTACTGTTGCCAACCCCACTGAATGTGGCACTGAAACAACCATCGTCCAGTGAGCTTTGGAAATCAAACTCCTCCTGTCCTTCCCCGCTCACCTCTGCTCCCTGCCCCACCTGCCCCTCCTGCCCCGCCTGCCTCTCCTGCCCCGCCTGCCTCTCCTGCCCCGCCTGCCCCACCTGCCCCGCCTGCCCCACCTGCCCCGCCTGCCCCACCTGCCCCGCCTGCCCTAACACCATTCCAAGCTCCAATCGCAGCGCTGCTCCTGGTTGCGTGTTCCGCACCCCCTGGCTCTGCCTTTCCGCTGCTCCCAAGTCCCGCCCCTCTGCACCCAACTCTATCTCTGCTCCCTGCCCCCCCTGCATCCTTTCTCCGTCCCTGTTTTCCGACCTGATTTCCGAGCCTGGACCCGAGCCTGAGACCCCCCCTGTTTCCGAGCGGTCGACTAGGCTGGTTCCCAAGCCTGCAAGCATGGTTTGCTCGCGAAGCTGCTTCTGAACAAGCCCCTTTCGCCTAAGTTGCTTAAAATGGTCTGAGAATCCCATCGGCCTGCCCTCCGCATCCCCATCCCCCCTCTGCGCCTCCCCTTCCCCCCCTTGCGTGCCCCCCTCTCCCCTTTGGCCAGCCTCCAAACCATACTCAGCTGCACCCGTAAATGAAGGTATAACAGGATTCCCCACCCACTGCGCCCCTCCTTCCCCCCCTTGCGTGCCCCCCTCTCCCCTTTGGCCAGCCTCCAGACCATGCTTGGCTGCACCCGTAACAGAAGGCAGAACAAGATTCTCGAACCCGTTTTGAGGCGCCAAGCCTGGCAATGAAACAGGAGAATGCACAAGCGGAGGAGGATTCGACCCTTGGCCCACGTCAGGGTCGAGGGTCAAGCGTGGAAAAGAGCCAGGAGAGCGCACTAGCGTAGGAGGTAAGCTTTGGCTCAAGTCCGCGTCGAGGGTCAAGCGGGGGACTGAGCCAGGAGAGCGAAGCAGGGGAGCAGGTGAGCTTTGGCTGACATCAAGGTCAAGGTCAAGGTCAAGGTCAAGGTCAAGGGTCACACGAGGCGCCGACCCTGGGGAACGCAGCAGAGGGTTGTTGTGAGCGGGAGGGCCTTCTGGAAACGAGGAGAGGAGCTCCCAAGGAGCAGGTGAGCTTTGGCTGACATTAAGGGCAAGGTCAGGGGTCACACGAGGTGCTGACCCCGGGGAACGCAGCAGAGGGTTGTTCCGAGCCTGGGAGCCTTCTGGAAAGGACGGGATGTCCAAAGGTTGAACCCTGGGAGAAGAACGGATGGGCGGACGCGTTGGTAAGTTCTCTGACTGCTGCTGCTGCTGCTCCTCCGCGCGCCTCTCACTCCCCTCTCCCCCCACTCCCTCCCGTTTCTCCTCCTGTCCCTCCCCTTCCTTCTCCTCCAACACTCCCCCCCGTGCCCGCCCCACTTTCTTCTGCCCTTCCTGCCACAGACTGAACGAGTACCCATTTCCGGAAGCATCCGGACTTTTGACTCGACTCGAATTCCCCTCCTCCTCGTTCGCCTTCTGCCCTTCCTGCCATAGGCTAAACGAGTATCCATTCCCATTCCCATTCCCATTCCCTGTAGCACGCGGACCTTTGACCCGACTCAAAACCCTCCCCTCATTCCGCTTCCCCTCCTCCTCCTGCTCCGCCTCCGCCTCCGCCGCCTGCCCTTCCTGCCACAGACTAAACGAGTAACCGTTGGCAAAAGTTCCCGAGCCTGGCGAACGAACCAGGGGAGACGTCCGAGGCTTGGTCGCATTGGAGGCTCGGGGGGAGCGCGCGCAGGGGAGGTCCAGCGAGGGGGGCTCGGGGGAGGGGCATTTGGCGGAAGAAGGGGAAGTCCCGGGAACGGCGCAAGGGTAAGCACGGGGAAGGGCGGAAGAGGAAACGCGGGGGAGGGTGGGGGGGGTTGATAGGTGACAACCTTTTCCCCCGTCCGTCCAGCTGCGCGTGATAACCCCTGGGCTGCCACTGCCAATTCCAAGGTTGTTCTCACTGTAGCTCCACTCACCATCGTCACCACCCCCGCCCTCCGTCCTGCTGCGAGTGACTCGCGCCGGCACCCCTCCCGCCCCTCCCAACCCTCCCGCCTCTCCCACCGCATTCCACCGCTGCTCCAATGCTCCCCACTCCGCCGGCAGACTAGACACCCCTCTCCCCTCCTCATCCCTCCTTCCAATACTTCCCAACCGCACCGGTAAGCTATTCACCCCTCTCCCTTCTTCATCCCTCCGTTCCATTGCTCCCCACTCGTTATAACCAGCACGGCCCGTCTCGTCACGGGGCAAGCGCACCCCACGTGCTCGAGGCAGGCTGTTCATTCTAGCCGGCTGGCTCTCCGGGCGACTAGGCCCACCGGAATCTGCAGCAGCCGTGGTAACCGCCATCATATGCGACTCTGCTCGAAGCAGGCTGTTCATTCTAGCCGGCTGGCTCTCCGGCCGACTAGTCGCACCGGAATCTGAAGCAGCCGTCGCAACCCCCATGTGTGAGCCTGCAGCGTGCTCCGGAAATTCATGAACCATACGCGGATCGACGCAGGGCGGCGGATATGATTCGCCGCGGCTCCAAGGAACACCCCCACCAATCCCGCCGCCAAACCCGCGGCCGTAAGCCTCACCACCGCAGCTGTTGACGCGCCACGCGCCACCAGCTATGCTGCCGCCATTACTGCCGCCATTGCCGCTGCCATTACCGCCGCCATTGCCGCCGCCAAAGCCGCCGCCAAAGCCGCCGTGAAAGCCGCCGCCATTGCCGGTCCAGTGAATCGAATAGTGGGCTGTCCCGATGCTACTAGCGCTGCGAGTTAACGACGCCATCATATTACCACCTCCGCCACTACCTCCGCCATTACCGCCGCCATTACCGCCGCCAAAGCCGCCGTCACCGCCGCCAAAGCCGCCAACACCGCCACTGCCGGCCCAGTGAAGTGAATAGTCCGCTGTCCCACAGCTACTGGCGCTGCGAGTTAACGGCGTCACCATACCACCACCTCCGGCGCCGCAGCTCACACCAGCTCCTCTCCCTTCGTTATTGTCACAATGTGGTTGCACGCCGTGCGGCCCGCCGGTGCTTCCTCCAATATAATCACCGTTCCGCGCGCCGTTTTCGCGCCAGTTTGAGGAGCACAGCAGCGGCTCGGTCAAAGTCCTCTCGAGCACCATTGTCGGCGGATGGGAGGACCATGATGCGCCGTCCGATCTGAACCCGCTCGAGCATGCCCCGCCGTCCGATTTGAACCCGCCCGACCACGCTGCACCGTCCGTTCCGGACCCGCTCCACTTCGCGCCGCCATCAAAGCACGCCGGGGGAGGCGGGTCGGCAGGGTCATGATCTTGTCGGCGGGAGAAACTCATAAAGCTCTCAGAAGAATCCACTCGAAGTCCTCCGTCGTTGCCGCGGGTATAATACGCCGCGGGTGACGAGCCCTCGAGGTCGCCATGTCGGCGAGAGGGATTCATAAAGCTCTCGGAAGAATAAATATCGGACGGCCCTCCGCCGCTGGGTGCTCCAGAACCCGTGCGGGGCCCTCCGTGGCCGTCGGTATAATACGCCGCGGCGGGTGATGAATCCGCAAGACGCCGCTGGGAGGAAATCGCGAAGCCGTCGGAAGAATTTACTAGAGGCCCTCCGTCGCCGTCGGTAAAATACGCTGCAGGTGATGAATCGGCGAGATGTCGCTGAGATGAAATCGCGAAGCCGTCGGAAGAAAGCGCGGGAGGCGGGATCGAACCGGACAGCGGTCGGCCGTCGGATGATCTCCAATCTTCGGATCGCCGCGATGGACGGTGCGATGATGCTTGCGACGCGTCGCGATGAGGATATATATCAGGCGACGTAGCGGACGGAGTCACAGGAGAGTACGAGCTCGCGGTCGTATCGGAGCAAGCCGCAAATTGCGGAATACCCGACGACGTGCATGACAGCGATTGGGTCGACGAGTACACTTGATCGCAATACCTAGGAGGCGTTCTGTCGGGTGGCCGGGAGGTATATTTAGGGGATAATATCGTATGTATTCGCGATTGGTTCCCCCATGCAGACTGCTCCTCCTGAAGTTCGGCATCGAGTCTCCTCGGTTCGGGTAGACGCATCTGCTGATACGCGTTATAAGCCGAACGAGGAGACAATTCTTCTTCACGATGCGGTTGCTCTGGATGAAACCTTTCTTGTCCATGGGGGTATCTGTAGATGGCTTGGCGCGCATCAACGGCCATGTGACTGTAACGAAGGTCGTTATGAGACGGACTGGAAGGGGATGACCTAGTGTGGTAACCGTAACAGTCGGAAGAAGCTGCGGCGTCCATGACGCGGAGAGCGGAGAGCGGGGAGCGAAGAGGGAAGGGTGAATAGCAAAGAGCGAAGAGCGAAGAGCGAGGAGCGAGGAGGGACGATGTTTCGTTGATGGATTTAGCTTGTCGTATAACTGACTATTTCAGGAAAGAGTTTTTCAAGAAAGGTCGGTTCTTGCTCGGAGCCCGTTCAAAGGCACACAATGCTGCAGACGCGCAGACGAGGCAGACGTGAAGCTTTGACCTCTTACAACACGCAAGTGCCGTGCTCGGGTTTCCCAAGGTGTGCGAGAGGCGATGATGGTGCTAAGAATGCTGTGCTGTGGCTTGATAGAAATGATGAGCTGTATGAGAAATGGAGACAGAGAGATGGCGAGGAAAGAGAGGGTGGTGATGGTGGGGAGTGGAGAGGAGAGGAGAGGACAGGAGACGAGGAATGAGCAGGATGGAATCTACGGCCATTATCTCCGATACTCAGATTTTTCATGAGCGCGTTCTCAGGTGTAATCACCAACAGAAACACAGTTTCTCGATATAGTGTGAATCTATTCTGTTTCATGTTTGTATACAGTCACTCAAAAAGAGGAAGTCTAGCACTTGCAATAAATAAATATAATGCCCGTAGCGAACCTATATGTTTTCCGGGAAGGATCAACCCTAAACACCGAAAGCCTCCAAATATTTTGGAAAACATATTGCAACCCACTTGACAAAAAAAAAATACCCACCTCGGAAAGGGATGCGACTCGGGGATGCATCAACCCTAAAAACAATGCCCATTTCCGTGTTTAGGGTTGACCCCTCTCGAAAATGCATCCAGGTTCCCTAGGGGTTTCATTTTTTTTTCTGCCATGCCCGAATAGGTCTCGGTAGCGTCGTCTAGTGCTTTCGGTAGCGTTGTTTAGCGGTCGGTTGCGTTACTGAGCACTACCAAGTGAATTATATAGGCTTCATTCTCTTACTACCTTAATTTCCGTACATCCTGAAGTGGCCCAGCGAGTAGCTGGTTCACTTCCGAAAGATGAGGTCTCGGGATCAAATCCCCCCTGCGGCGTATTCTGCCAGCCCCCACTAGAAGGGGCTACACAGCTACTCATCTGGGAGTGGATAGAACAACCTCGTTGACCCAGCGAGGAGTGTAAACAAATGGGGAGGCGGGTTACGACCGGCAGCCAGGTGTGGGTAACACCCAGAGGGGCTTCCCCCCCTCCTTTACCTTTACCTTAATTTCCGTACATATATCCAGGTCGGGAGGGTAAACTGGATGGTTTTGTTTTTGTCACTTCCTAATGAGTTCGACCAGCGTGAGAAATGTGACTAAAAAGCGACGACAAATCAACGTTGAGAAAGTCCAGGTTGATTACACCTGAGAACGCGCTCAGGCAAAATCTGAGTATCGGAGATAATGGCCGATGGAATCTATGGTGGTGGTGGTGCTGGTGGTGAATCAACCATGCCGATTTGTCTTAGGATTTACGCGGTGCGGTACAGTAACGTACAGTAACAGTTCACGAACTGCGCTGCAAGCAAGATGAATGCACCTCGCCTGGTGTTGGTCAATGGATTTCGTAGGCTGGCGCAGCCACAGGGAACAGAGAGTCCAGAATGTGCGAAAGCTTGTTACATCGTATTCCGTCTTTTCGCCCTTTTCGTGAGTGAGCTGGACACTGTCGTGAAGAAGTCAGGCGCTCGTTGTTCGCACACGGAATGGTTCGGGTGGTGGTCACCGGCTCACCCAAGGCGCAGGGGAAGACGGTTCAGGAAAGCGAGGAGGAATTTGATTGGCTGCTGGCGGAACACGGGCCAATTCCCTTGGCCAGTCGACGAAAGTCCCGAATCCCGCCATTTTCCTGATTCACACAGTCCTCGCCAATTTCACGCCCCGTCAGTTCTTACTTAAAACCAAACTGACCTTATTTGGCTATAGGGGATAAGACACCCCCGAACTAGAGGCTATCCGAGGCATTGTGACGTTTCGATGTTGCCCCTTCTGACGTTGAGACCGCAACGCAAGGACTGAATCTTCCACTGCGACCATGTTTCTTTTGTTTTTCCACTAACTCATGTGCGTAGTCCCAGTCGTTGCTTTCCTTAAAACCAAAATGTTTGAAACAACCCTCAAACTCGGGTAAATTTAAAACGAATACACAGGGGGCTGAAATTGGCCATAGTGAAGTTGGCGAGGACTTGGTGTTCCTCCTAAACTCCAAAACGTTATCATTTCACACGTTTTGAGAACTGCCTGGCTGTGGTCACAGCTACAGCCACAAGGCTTGCTCTACGTCTACAGTGCACATGTGTCCAACAAGCCGCTCGCCAGCCCTGTGTTTTCCACTCCACACCACACACCCTATGTGGAGGGTCAGTTACTGTACCCCCTCTTGTGGAAACACCCTAGTTGCATCACTTCCACCCTCTCAAACAGAGTGCAAATCCAGACTCCATTACAAAACTGGTAAACCATTTCAATAAACCTGCATCAATTAGTGACTAACACTATATCTTCCACACTCACGCAGCAGAACACCCCATCCCAATCCATGCAAAGTACCAGTTCGTTCACCAGCGGAACCCATGTAATTGCTTCCAGAACACAGGCGGCACCGCACACATGGTACTAATGTGGGCCTTCACTTGCTTAGGGCGTGTTCCTATACCTCTTATCAGGCGAATCTCTTGCCAGACTTGCCTATGCGTAAAGGGTTTGGAGTTGAGGCGGGATTTGAGTGTGATGGGCGCGAGTCTGATAAGAGGTTCGCCTGATAAAAGGCCGTATGAACACGCCACTACACATATTGACACCAGCAAGCAATAATGAACTTGGACAGAAGCTAGCTAAATATGATAGAACAGTAAGGCATTCCTATCCTAAGACTTGTTCTTACCGCCCTTTATTCTCCACGGCCTCGGCCCATCTGGCTTAACCTCCTGCTCTAACCGTCTCTCCTCCTGTTCCTTCCCTCTCTCCTCCCGTCCCTTCTCCCTCTCCTCATGCCCCTTCCTATTGTCTCCACGGTCCTGTCCATTCCCTTCCTGCGTCTTGCCTCCCTTCAAAAGCGAAAGAATTTTGCTCTTTGGCACTCTAGCTATCGACCCCCCTCTGCCCCCATCCTTCCCACCTGCAGCAGCAGCGCCACTAGCAATAGCATGCCCTGGCGAGCGCTGCAGAAGAGAAGATACTTCAGCAAACGAGTGTGCTTGTACAGGGGATGGTAAACACGGGGAAGTGGCATGCGAATGTGCTTGTACAGGGGGTGAGGAGTAGGGGCTAGTACGCGAGTGTGAGTGTACAGAGGGTGAGGAGTAGGAGTGTGACGTAGGCAGTCGGCGGCCCGTAGGAAGGTGGTAATCCAAGAGTGTGGAGGAGAGGGGAGGGACCCTGGGCCTGGTGTTGCTTCTGATGCTGTTGCTATTGATGCTGTTTGTGCTGCTCGAAACACTGCTGATGCTGCTGATGCTGTCGATGGTCGTGAGACTGTTGGCACTGTTGTTGTTGCAAGCACCACTGCCGGCGCTGACGCTCCTTGGAAGAACAACTGAAACGCTATCACAGTCGGCATTGACACCGACTGAGGTACCAGCAGCAGCTGCATAAGCAGGTAAGGTAGAAGCAGCAGCAGCAGCAGGGGAGGAGGAACCAGCAGCAGCAGTAAAGGCACCAGAGGACGAAGCAGGAGCGGCAGCAGCAGAGCTGGCGCTACTCCACCCAGCAACACTGTCACACCTGGCAGTGCAATAACTGCTGTCAGACTCACACCCACTAGCTGCACCCTCAGCCCCTTCTGCACTCATGCTGCTTGAAATTTCACTGGCACTACTATCCCCGTTGCTAGCCTGCACAACGGTAGAATCACCAGCAGGAGCAGACGCTTCAGCAGCACCACCAGCAGCAGAAGTAGCTGAATCAGCACCAGCCCAGCCAATACCAGCTGAACCAGCAGCGACGAGACTAATATCCCCATCCAAAGCGTTTCCCTCCGTCACAGCAGCATCCCCACACGCACAAGACCCCTCAGTCCAGCTGCTGCCGCCGCCGCTGCTGCTCACACCCAAACTGCCATTGTCTCCCTGCCTCTCCACGTCCCAACCATGGCCCTCAGGTGTTTCCTCAGGCGCGCCCCCCCGGCTCACACCATTGATGTTCAAGTGACCCCCTGGCGGTTGAGTTGACTCAAAGGCCAACTCGTTTGTCTCAGGAACAACCCCCTGGCTCACTCCTTTGACGTGCAAGTCATCTCCTGGGGCGAACCCTTGCTCTGCTCCCTGCTCCACCCCCTGAAAATCCTCCTGGCATACCCCCTGCCCCACCCCCTGGTCTATCCCCTGCCCTACCCCCTGGTTCTCAGCAGCGCTATCCCTGCCTCCCTCAACCACAAGGTCCCCCTCGCTTACCCCCCGGCACACCCCCTGACAAATCCCGTGGCTGTCAAAAGCACCATCCTCTCTCACTCCCTGGACCACAGTAGCTTCATCCTCCCCATCCCCCGCAATGAGCCCTTGTCTGCTCAGCCGCCTCAGGTGCTCCTGCAGCTGCAGCAGCCGCCTTGCTGCTGCATCCACCTTCTCCTGCCGCTCCGGACTAGTGCCAGTGCCGGCCTTGGGCGACCCCGCGGGTCTGCTGAGGGACTTGAGCACTGCTGCGAACCTTGGGCTGAGGCACGACGGGCTGGAAAGGCCACTCTTTTTAGAGGTCTCAGAAACCAATAACCTTGGGCTGAGGCACGATGGGCTGGAAAGGCCGCTTTTTTTAGTCGACTCGGGAACCGATAACCTGGGGCTGAGACATGAGGAGCTGGATGGGGCAGGGGTAGCACTGCTAGCAGTTGATGCGGTGGAGTGAGAATAGGTGCTGCCGGTGCCAGCAAATGCGGCATCAGCAGACGCAGCAACAGCAGCAGCAGCACCACCACCAGCAGCATCACCAGCATAAACAGCAGCAGCAACAGCAGCAGCAGTACTACCAGCAGCAGCAGCAGCAGCAGCAGCAGCAGTTGCGGTATCAACAGCAGCACCAGTTTCCCTCCTCTTTCCCTCTCCCCTGAACCCAAGGCATTTCCCAAAGGGGTTCTGGCTACCAGACCCGTGCATCAGATGGGAAGGAGCAGGGCTTGCTGTAGCATGGTCACCACCTGCTGTTGTAACGTGGTTACCACCTTCGCCAGGGCTGCTTGCTAACTGGTTACCACCATTACATTCACTCCTGCTGCTGTCCAAAAGGCTTCGAAAGGATCCGTCAAACGACGGGTCCTCTTCAGTCCGGAAAATCCCACTGTCCCTACTGTTGCTTAGCTGCGCGCCAGTGTTTAACTGAGAGCCGGTGTTTAACCGAGAGCTGGCAAAGGCTTCGAGAGGAAAGGAGAGTGAGAAGCCATCAGATAGGTCGAGTATGGGCACTGGAAGCATGAACATACTGTTGCCTTCCGAGCTTGCATCGTCTTCCTCCTCATCCCAATCTGATTCCTCTTCCTCTTCCCCCTCTTCGTCGTCGTCCTCCTCCTCCTCCGTATGCTCTTCCTCTTCCTCCTCTCCTCTGTTCCATTCGATTTCCTCACGTACACCACGTTCCTTCCCTCCCTCCTCTTCCCAATCCCCTTCCACATCCCCTTCCCAAGAACTTCTTTCCATCTCCGCTCCAACAGCAGCAGCAGCAGCAGCAGCAGCAGCAGCAGCGGCACTGGCAGGACCTGCATGCTTATCCTGCTCTGCATTGCTCCACCCCCGCCCCTTCCCATTCCCATCCCCTTTCCTCTCCCCTTTCCCCTCCCCCTTCTTCTCCCCTTTCCCTTTCCCCCTCTCCTTCCTCTTCCCCATCCGCTTTCTCCCAAACCCCCCTCCCAGGCAGGAAATCGGAAACCCAGACCCTCCTCCCCCCTTAGAGCTGCTGATTCTGCTGCCAATGCTCACACTCCTAGCGTCATACTCGCTAAGAGCATCCTCAAGAGCGTCATAAGCGGTGGACGGAAATATCCACCCAGGCGGCGTAAGAGAATGGGAAAAACTGCTCTCTCCTCTGCTATCTCCTCGACTGTCTCTGTACTGTTCCCTCAGGCTTGCTTCCAACGCAGCAGCAGCAGCAGCAGCAGCACCACCGCCACCACCAGCAACAGTGCTGCTGACACCCGAGTCACGCCTTGCTTCCACCCCAACACTGAAAGCAAACGATCCCACCCTACCCACACTCTCTCCCACCTCTGCTCTCTCTCCCTCTCCCTCTCCCTCTCCCTCTCCCACTCCTCCAAACGCAATCCCAGCTGAAGCAGCACCGTCACGCTCCATCTCACACCTGTCCACCTCCATACGCGTTACAGCATGCCCCTGGTTCGTTTCAACACTCGCCCTCTTCGCCACCCTATCAGCCAACCCCACAGCAGCCTCTAGAGCCGATTCTAGATCCATACTCGGAACACCCCACATGCGTCGGGCCGAATCCAGACTCATCTTTTGGACCTGCTCCCTCCCGCCTCTCCTCTGACCCATCATGTCACAACCCCCCTGCTCCCTCTCTCCCCTCCTCTGAGCCATCATGTCACAACCCCCCTGCTCTACCCTATCAGCCACCCCCACAGCCGCCTCTGGCCCCGAACCCAGACCCATAGTCTGGACCTGCTCCCTCCCTCCTCTCATCTCAGCGCTCTCAGCCGTGACACTGTGCTGCTGCGTTGGCTTTGCTGCCTCTGCCTCACAACAAACCCCCTTCCCCACCCTTCCAGCCACCCGATCAGCCGCCCCCATAGCGGCCTCTAGAGCGGATTCCAGGTCCATGGTAGGGACAGCCCACATGCGGGGGGCCTTTTGAGGCGCCTCAGAAGTGGCTTCACAAGTAGCCTCGAGAGGGCCCTTCTCCACCCGATCAGCCGCCCCCATAGCGGCCTCTAGAGCAGATTCTAAGTCCATGGTAGGGACAGCCCACATGCGGGGGGCTTGACCTGCCTTCCTCCTCACAATCATCCCCGGCCCTACCCCTCCCTCTGCCACCACTTTTGCCGGCACTCGCATCACTCCACTTCCCGTCCCCCCTGCTCCTCCCCCAGCCCCTCCCCCTCCCCCTGCTCCTCCCCCTTCCCTTTTTTTGGAAGGGTAAATTACCCTGGAATCTGCAGCGAAACTCCCTATGGCTGCCTCGACCATCGCTGCTGCTGCAAGTATATCCTCATCGGAGCAGAGCGATGATTCTGCAGGAAACCCAACGGTTGAGAACGGTACAGGGGCATACTCCACATGACCATCACCTGTTACCCCAGGAGGCAGGAAATTTGGATCTGGCAACACAGCCGGGGCATCTGGGCCATTGAATCCTGCAGATGCATCTGGGCCGTTGGATGCAGCAGGTGCGTTCAGATCACAAGCGGCATTTTCAGCACTAACGCTGGTGGGTGGCAGCTGGCCTTGCACTAACCCCTTAAAAGAAGCAGCCTCTCCTGCACTTCTTGCCTCCCCTGCACTTCTTGCCTCTCCTGCACTTGCTTCCTCTGCTGCTTCTGCACTTGAGATGCCTCGCCCGTCCACTCCTTGCATCCTTTCCCCTTGCGCCCCTAGCCTCTTCTCCCCTTGCCCCACCTGGCCCCGTGGCACAGCCTGCACGGCCCCCACTGCTGCCCCTTGCGCTCCAAACCCTTGCCAATCCGCCCCGTCCCTTCCCTCTTTCGTAGTGCCTCGTTGCCTCTCCTCCACCTGACCCCACGGCACAGCCTGCACGGCTCGCACCGCTGCCCTCACAGCAGCATGCATGTGAGCGGGTTTCACTCGGATACTATACACCCTCTTCACTGGATTGCCAGCCGTGGCAGCAGGGGCAGCCGCATTCCCCACAATAGCATCAGTGGCAGCAGTTGCATTCCCAGCAGTGGCAGCAGTAGCAGTAGTGGCAGCAGCAGCAGGTACAGCAGCAGCAGTGGCAGCAGTGGCAGTAGAAGCGGCCTGTTGTGCCTTGAGAGAAGCCAGCTCATCAACATGGCTGCTGAGTCGGTTGAATGCCTCCTCTATCCTGCCCACTGCCATTGCCACGTCTTCATGTCCTTCCCCTCCTTCCCCTCCTTCCCCTCCTTCCCCTCCTTCCCCTCCTTCCCCTCCTTCCCTTCCTTCCCCTCCTTCCCCTCCTTCCCCTCCTTCCCCTCCCTCTACTCTCACTCCTCCCTCCTCTCCCTCTCCTACCTCAACATTTTCTTCAGTCTCTCCTTTCCCTTCGCTTTCCTCACCTTCCCCTTCCCCCTCTCCTTCCCTTTTACCCTCTCCTTTTCCTTCTCCCTCTCCTTTTCTTTCTCCCTCCCCTTTTCCTTCTCCCTCCCCTTTTCCTTCTCCCTCCCTTTTTCCTTCTCCCTCCCTTTTTCCTTCTCCCTCCCCTTCCTCTTCTCCCTCTCCTCGTTCACACGACTCCACAACGCTACTGAATCGACTGAAAGCTGCTTCAATCCTCTCCAGAGTGACTGCCACTTCCTCCACCAACACTTCTCCCTCTACCTCCCCCTTTTCCTCCACCAACACTCCTCCCTCTACCTCCCCCTTTTCCTCCACCAACCCCGCCCTCTCCTCAACTTCTCCCTCTCCCTGTCTCACCTCCTCCCCCAGCCCCGCCCCCTCCCCCACCGCCCCTCCTTTTCTCCCTTCTTCCGCAGTCTGTCTCTCCTGGGGACTGTCTAACTGATCCGGTAACGCATCCTCACAGCTGCGCTGCACTCGGTCTTGCATAGTCCTAGTGTGCTCCTGAGATTGTCTACCTTCCACGGGTGAGTGCTGTGATAAGAGCACTGACGTCCCTTGATGTGACCCGTACCCCTCCCCCCCCCTACAGTCACTCGCGTTACTGTCACAATTGCTGCTCCCCAAGCTGCGGCCGCTGCTCGTATGAACCCCCGAGCCCTCCCGCTCGATCTTATCCTCTCCCACCCACCGCCCAGCGTATCCAGCTCGGATTTCTGCCAGCCTGGCAGCCAGCTCAGCATCTTTCTCGATGGACACACGAGAAGGCAGGCCACACGTAGCACGCCACCTGGCGGCCGAGGTCGGCCGGCAGGGGACAGACAGACGGCGGGGCTGCTGACCTGGCGGTGACTCAAAAGCGCGTGCATGAGTTGGAGCTGAGTCAGCTGACTCGGCAGCAGGATGTAACTGGGGGGAATTGACTGCTGTTACCAATTCGGCAGCGATAGTTGCTGCTATTGCTGCTGCAGCGGCTGTAGCTACTGGTGTGGTTGCTGCAACTGCTGTAGCATCCACTGGAGCCACTGTAGCCCCCACTGGAGCCACTGTAGCCCCCACTGGAGCCACTGTAGCCCCCACTGGAGCGGCTACTGCTGCAGCTTCTGCCCCGCCACTGTAGCCCCCGCCAGTGGGGGCCAGCTTCTGCTGTCCTGCCAAGCCACACTCATCCCTCAACTCCCTTTCGGCCGAATCTCCAGTCGTCGCAAAAGTCGCTGAAGCATCAGCTGAGCCCCCCCAGGCGGCCTCACATTTCCCCGAGATTGTTTCTCCCTTATTGCCCAGCACTGCCAGCAGGGCCGGGGGGAGAACCGATGACGCCAGCAAGCTCCCAGAAGACGATTCCGCAGATGCTTCCATGCGGGGGAGGGACGGGACCGCGTCTGTGCAAGCAAGGGACGCAGATGCTTCAGTGCGGGGGAGAGAATCCGCTGCTGTTCTGAACGAGATGGATGCCAAGGGCTCAGCATGCCCTCCCTGAGATCCACCACCATCAGCGCTCCCCCCAGCGCCTCCCCCAGCGTCCCCCTCACCAGCCTGCTGTTCCCCATCCTTGTCACCAACCGTGCTTTCCCCTGCCACTGCTACTCGCTCGTTACAGTCACTCTTGCTACCAGCACTAGCACTGCCCCCCCTGTTCCCACTAACAACATCTCCATCAATACCCATGCGAACCGCTTCACTGGAACTCCGCTTTTCGCAGCTTGGGTTTACGCCCTCGCCCCCGCCCCTTTCACCAACCTTGGAACCGGATTGCACCGTTATAGAGTCCTCCAACCCACCCACTATCGAGTCACCGCCGTGCCTGTCCCTGCCCTTGTCCCTCCGAAACGCGTTGATATGCATCTGGTTCCGCTTTCCTACTTGCCTGAACTTATCCGTAAATCCCACCTGCTCCCCACCATTCGCCCCGCCCTTCCCCACCATATCAAACGATAAGCCATAATCACTGTAGCTCGCCATGTCCACGTGTCCTTCATTCCCTAAATCACAATCCTCCTCCAATCCGGTACCTGCTCCGTTTTCCCCTGCCTCCCGCGCCTCGCTAGAAGCCCCTTCGTTATTTTCACTCTGTCTGCCACTCGTACGGTTGGAGTTGCTGTGCTCCGCTATAGAGTCCAGCAGTTGGCCTTCTAACGAGGCAGAGCGACTCCTCTCCTTGGCCCTCCTTATCGCGTTGATATGCATTTGGTTCCGCTTCCCCACTTGCCTGAACTTATCAGTAAAACTCACCTGCTCCTCCCCGCTTGCCCTGGCCTTCCCAACCATATCAAACGAGATACCGAAATCACTGTAGCTCGCCATATCCGCACTGCCATCTACAGTATCGTCAAGAATATTATCTCCATAAAACGAGTTATATATACCCGTTACAAGCGCACTCGATGGGGGGAGACTGCCGGAAATCTCGAGCGCGGCAGACTCGAGATCCGCAATTCGCGTCAGGCGATTGCGCAAGTCGCACGATTCCCCTCTCTCCTGCCAGCTCTCAGCTTCCGTGACTCTGCTAAGCGCGCGCGTTAAGTTTATAAGCCTCGGCATCACATCATCCTCGCTACAAGTTTGCGACAACGACTCCAAATCGCCGCTGCCTCCTGCCTTTTCGGTCCCTCCCGCACTTCCGGCGCCTTTCAGCCCCGACAGAAACGTCTTGCCTTTCCCGTTGGTTACCACATCGACTGTTCGCCGGATCCATTTCGCGCCTTTCTTCCCCCCTCGCAGGCTGATTTGCTTCAAACGATGCAACGAGAGAACCTGCTTCGCCGCGCCAGCAGAACCAGCGGACCCGGATAACGTCTCCGACTCTTGTTGTAACGCCTGTAAGTCTGGTCGCGAACCCGGTATCGCTGCTCCGTTACTATCACGAACAACAGAAGCCTGCGCGTCAGTGTCAAGACTATCCGGAAATTCCGCCGGTCCTTCAGCTTGCTGCGATTCGTAGACTGAATCTTCTGGCAAGGCGTCGAGTTGCGAGGAGTGTGCAGCACCGTCGGTTACATGAGCAGTTTCCGGCGAAGGTAGCGCCACGTCGCTCGCCAAGGCGCGTCCGGCGCTGTCGACTATTGCCTCTTCAACGGATTGGTACTTAGAATCGTAGAGGAGGACGTACGCGTCTCCGCAGTCTACTAAAACTAGCGAGTCTTCCTCGTTCGACATTTGTCCTCTATGCTCGGGATTCGGGAACTAGGATGAGCTAAATTGGAGTAAGAAACCGCGGCTACACAACGCGAGAAACGAGTGAACTTGTTGCTAAGCGGTTCCTAAAACGAGGCAGGACCTCTGGTGTAGATGGCGAAAACTTGCTGCTCGAAGAAAGAAACAAAGTGAAGCTGGAACTAATTTTGGAGACTTGACGTGCTACGAACGTGAATGATGGTTCTTCGGGTTGTATGCAGGAGTAATCCAGTATGTCCAGTGCTTTGAAATATGGCTCCTCACATACGGTTCAATGAGGTTCCTCAGGTTTGAACACGGTAATTTCTGCTCGCCGTTTTGGAACGCAACAAACCGAACAGCAACGAGATGCACGCAGGGCACCCTTGAGGGGAGATGGATGTTGACAGGCGGATAAGTCGAGAAGTCGGACTGATGAAACTGAAGACCGGGGGAGGCGGAAAGCGGAAAGGTGGAGAGACTCGGGGAAACGCGGCATTCCAAAGTGACGGCGGGTTGGAGATAGGGGGAGGTCTTGTTGGGTGCGGGGAAGATTGGCGGCAGCCATCACTGGAAGATCGAGGGAGCCTTCCTGCCCGTGTTGGGGGGGGACGGTGGTGGGTTGGGTGTGGTAAATCCGTCTGGCGCAAGTTGTGCTGATGTGGGCGTGGGCGCGGAATGAAAGCTGGAGAAAAGCGCTGGTTCAGGCAGGTGGCGGAAAATAGTTGGCTGGCCAGTGGCCCCACCGCCATCACCATTGGTGCGCCTACCGCGTGGCTTGTCGGTGCGAAGGACGAACGACAGCCTGGGGGGAAGGCGGGAAAGGAACAGGGGGGGCGTATTTGCCAGCGCTCTCTGGCTTCTGTCCGTGGATACTCCAACATCACACGGCAAGGAAAACACGACACATGCTCGAGATAGGGTTTGAGAATGTAGTTTTACGGAAGAAGTGTTTTTGCATCCATTAAGTGTGTACCGCGTTCTACTGTAATCGATCCATCCTTATGGAGTACTGCGAATCCCAATGCCGCGAAATTTGCAGCTTTGAATTCTCGAGTCCGTTTTCCCGCCAAACTGCTTTTCTGCCGCTCTGTCTATCCTCGAGCCATTCCTTGGAATGGAAGGATTCGAGTTACGGTTTCACCAGTCGCTTCATTCTTCCTTCTTCCTTGCTCAGCCTGTTCTTTGGTGAAGTTAGAATTGAGTGATGCTGGGAAGTGAAGTCACCAAATGCGCGTTTCATTCTCAAGCTCTTTAGCCGCGTGCCAAATCCAGGTCTGAGAGGCCGACGACTTTCTGGCTCTAGATTTAGTCGGATAGATTAGTCTTCGTGTACAACATTGTGACATCTGGAAGCGCATGACCTTGGATTCCTTTTTCTCGGCCCTATATTTTATTCGCATCCCGCTTCGTTTCCCAGCCAACGTCACGTTTGTTCGGCGTCACTATACCTTTGCCCAATGGATTTCAACGTAACCTCACGAAAACGAGCCGCACCTTCAGTAGCGCAGGGTCCCGGCACGGTCGGCGCCGACGGTCGCGGCGTAGGTCTGTCGGGATGGAAATCCTCCGCAGGAAGCGGCGGAGCTTCCGCGTGCCAGCTGTCGATGTACGACGAGGCGCCGGTGGGGGAAGAGGTGGCCATGGAGCAATTCGAGGAGTTCGCGCTGGACCGGCTCCGGGGTGAGCTAGCATTAGAAAAAAAAAGCCTAGATATCTGTTTTGCAATAACATGTCTGGAAAACGGTTGGCTCCCGAAGCGTGCAGGATAGAATCGAACGGGTCAAAGGACGGTCTGAGATTCGTCGCGTAGGTCCGGTTCACGGCTCGTCGTGGCCTGTCCACTCGTTTGTAACGGAATCTGAAGCGAGTCTTGTTTTTCCGTGCGCAGTGCTCAAGGCGATCGACGACGCCAAGGCGCGCGGAACAAAGGTGGACGAGCTCGACAGCATGGTATGTGCGTCCTACCTCTGAAAGATTGGCGGAAACGTTTAGCCAGGTAGGAGCTTGCATGATAGCGTCACGCCGTTTCTTTCGTGCCAATTGATGGTAGTTCCCGTATTTCGTGCCAGATCATGATACTTCTGTCTCTCGGTGGCATCAGACAGGCTCAGATTCTAGTGTTGCTATTTACACGCACCACGTTTTGTTTCGCAGGTGTCAGACATATGGCGGAAGTACATGCGAGCTGGATGCTCATTGGCTGACGCTCGTCGCAAAGACGTCATATCGCACTACATCCTGCGACTCGCCTACTGTCGCACGTGAGCCTTTTGAGACGCCTCGCCTATTGTCGCACATGAGTCGTTAGAGACATTTCAAACATTCCCTACTGTCGCCTAAGGGTTCGCATCACTCGGCTCGCAATGTTGTACCCCTTAAGTGGTCCATTATTTACTTGGCGGTGGTTCAGGGAGGAGCTACGGCGGTGGTTGTTGGCGCAAGAATCGGCTCTATTCCGCCACAGGTTCCGAGCTGAGACCCCTGAAAACCAGGTGAGTCGATTCTTTAGTTGACATGTACAGACAGACGATTGAATAACAATATTATCTCTGGATGTTGGCGCAAGAATCGGCTCTATCCGCCACAGATTCCGTGCTGAGACGCCTGAAAACCAAGTGAGTTTCCATATACTAATTGGATACATTCCAGAGAGTAATGGGAAATCTCCACAGCGTGTGGGCACTTCAGACAATTAGTGGGGCGTTTAGACGATCAAGTGAGGGTCTAACCGCCAGAGAATAAAACTGCCTCCTTCGTTCTACACCACTGCATGTGAATCTATTGCATGTTATCGTCTTTCCCTCCGTTCCTCCCTTTTCCCCCTGGTTCCTCCGCTCCCCACCGTCTTTCTCGCTGATCAGAGGTGGTTTTTGGAGAGCAATGGCCTTCCCTATCGTGCTATTGGCGCAGCAGAGATGACGGCAAGTGCAATGTGTACTGTTTAGGTTATGGGTGAATCTTAAGTTACTGGCGTTTAGCTAAGTATCATGCCAGCCTCTTGCTTGCGCTCGTTTGTCCCACTTCAAACGTCAATCCCATTAGCCTGAGTCCCCATGTTCAATGCAATAGTCATTTCTCCTTCCCACCTCTCTTTCTCCCCTTCACTAACACAGGGAGTGCGAGAGAAGCTCACTCAAGTGGCCAGGTCCCTAAACCTACCTGTTCCAAATGGTAATTTACCTTCGAAAGACCAAATTATTCCCAACGATTTACAGCCAGTCCAATCTTGTTTTTACCTTTCTCTGATAATTCTGTCACCAAGTGGTGGCGCCTTCAATGACTGGCCCCCATCTTCTTTATCACTGTTGTTTCTTTTTGGCGCGACGTCTCCCAAACAGTCCTGGCACATGTCTGTGGATTGTCCAACCTAACCCTTTTCCATCCTGCCACTTTTCCAACCTGCCCGCCCTTCCAACCTGCCCATTTCGTCATGGCAACCTGTATGGCACGACTGCTCCAGTCGACAGTGTCTTCTACAAGGTAAGTCCATTCGTTGTGAATTTTTGCACGCACGTATGCAAGGTAAACTTGTGAGGTAAATCTGCGACGGCGTGATAGCTCCAGTTGACAGTGTCTACAACAAGGTACATCCTTTAGTTTCTGTGGAAACTCGTTGGAGTGCATACTTTCTGGTTTTTTTCCTTGTTAGATTGCTCGCTTACTGGCATGGCAGGTATTCGGAGGCAGTAACGCGTATGTCTCATCATCTATCCCCGCATCCCCCATCCTATCTCTCCTTCGTGGCAGGTTCCATTCGAGGAGGTTCCTGATTTGGTGGCTTCTCGCAGGGTTTATCTCGAAAAGGGCTTTGCCTTTGTCCCCAGAGACCAGGTATGGGATTGCATGTTCTTTGTGTTAATGAATCAATGCGTTCTCCTCTTCCTCACATAGTAAGTCGATTTTGAGTCGACTCAAAAAAGTCCCCAGAGACCAGGTATGGGATTGCATGTTTCTTGTGTTAATGAATTAATGCGTTCTCCTCTCCCTCACTCCCATGGCTGTGATTTTTTTTCCCTCATGGCTGAGTGTGGCCGGTGGCCATTGTGGTGGGTCAGTCCCAAGCTTAGCTAACCAGAGCGCTAGCTTGTGATGCGCCTCATGAACATAGCTTGAGCTGTCAGACGCAAACAAAACGTCAACTTAATAGCCAGTCTAACCAGAGCACTAGCTTGTGATGCGCCTCATAAACATAGCTTGTGATGCGCCTCATAAACATGGCTTGTTCTTTTAGGCTCCTCAGACAATGATCCGTCCCCTTCTCTGACGCGTGCCGGTCCGTGTGTGCCAGCTGGCGGCCATTGTGGTTGGTCAATTTCGAGCCAAGCTGTCCAAAGCACTCGTGGCAACCAACAGGTGAATCTTGGAATTTTGATGAGAAGAAAGTTTATGAGAGAGTTAATGGTATGGATGCGGTGTTTTGGTTTCCTATTTGAGCAGTATCATCTGTTATTTCACATCTCATTGATATTTCCGTTTGATTGATTCACGTCTAATCACTATTTCCATCTCATATTTTTTTTCTGACATTCACATCGCATTGATCTTTCCCTTCCGTTTCCATTTTGTTCCCTCCTGTCTCCCAGGAAGTGGCTCGCCCACATACAAGAAGACGAGCAAGAACGCCTGACACCGGTCACTGCTGCTCATCCCTTCTTCCTCCCCACCCCGTCACCGTCCTCCAGGAAGTGGCTTGCCCACATACAAGAAGACGAGCAAGAACGCCTGACACCAGTGATTGAGGCTCTCAGCACACGCTATCTAGGCCCTGACTTCTCCCAGGTAATACAACTAACTTCAAGCAGAGAGGCCTCCATTTGACCTGAGGTCAAATAGAGACTTCTGAGGCAGCTTGGTTGGAGTCAACTCAAATCTCATCTCCTCCTTTTTCCCCTCCTTTCCCTCCCCAATCCTCCTCTCCTTCCCTAACCCTCCTCCCCCATCCGTCTCTCCCCCCCCTGTCTCTCCACTGCTCTGCCAGCCTGGCGAGACTGCTGAGGTGTCGCTCCGTGATTTGGACATTGTGGCGCGGCAGTCTTTTCCGCTCTGCATGCGACACCTCTTCTTCAAGGTACGCATTCTTTGCCATTAGGACTGGGCGAGCTGCAGTAGGAAGTAACTACACACCTGTGTCGGCTCGTCTCGGGCTAGGGGTAGTCTTTTCCTCTCTGCATGCGGCACCTCTTCTTCAAGGTACCCATTCTTTGCACCGTGTACGCTTTGACGCGAGAGTTCTCCGAGAATCCTCAAATTTCGTGCCACAGCCACAGCCACTGCCACAGCCACTGCCACTGCCACAGCCACAGCCACTGCCACAGCCACTGCCACTGCCACTGCCACTGCCACAGCCACAGCCACTGCCACTGCCACTGCCACTGCCACAGCCACTGCCACTGCCACTGCCACTGCCACAGCCACTGCCACTGCCACTGCCACTGCCACAGCCACTGCCACTGCCACTGCCACAGCCACTGCCACTGCCACTGCCACAACCACGGCATGTGTCCGTCTGCAGGTTTGTCCAGGCACACCCGAAACACGTCCCCCCTCTGCATCCCCCACCTGCCCTCCAAAGCACCCACATCACCCTCCCACACCACTTGTGGTTAGGCGTGAAAAGGTTTTTGCGGACTTAGAGTTCCCCAAAATCGCTCGCAAGAGCGACGTGTGGCTTGCTTGCCCCGTTAGCTTTGTCGTTGCACCCATCCATGTACTTCGATTCGAGTCGACAAAGCTAACGGGGCAAGCAAGCCACACGACATGTGGCATCCATGTACTGCGATTCGACCCACGTAGAATGCCTCGAAAATCATTCCCTTTCCGTCTTTTCCATGCCCCACCCAACCCCTTGCGTGCCCGGTAACCATTTCCAGTTGCGGGAGGAGCACCATTTGCGGCACGGGGGCAGAATGCAGCTAGGGCTGTTTCTTAAGGTACAGTGTACAACGGGCTTGATGCGGATCGAAAGCAGCTGAGCTCCTTTGCTTCTCTTTCTATTAGCATGCCGACTATGCATCAGCGTCTCAGCATCAGCATCAGCATCAGCTCTTTCTATAAAGCATGCCGACTATGCATCAGCGTCTCAGCATCAGCATCAGCTCTTTCTATAAAGCATGCCGACTATGCATCAGCGTCTCAGCATCACCATCAGCTCTTTCTATAAAGCATGCCGACTATGCATCAGCGTCTCAGCATCAGCATCAGCTCTTTCTATAAAGCATGCTGACTGTGCTCTCGTTCCCACGGATCACTCCCGTGCTTCTGCGTACTCCCATGCTTCTTCGTGCTCCCACGCTGCATGCATTTGCATGCATCCCTTACCAGCAATTTTCTCGATGCCATCCCGCTTGTATTCTTTGTCCTCTGTATCTTCACCATGTCATTGATTCTCTCCCATTTCGCCTTCCCTGTTCTTCCCTGCTCTTCCTCAATTCCCTTCCACCTCACCCCATGCTTCTTATCAGGGCATCGGGCTGAGATTGGAGAATGCACTCACATTACGTCTGCTCCTTCTGTTTCTTTACTATATTCCACCCCACCTTCATGCACTTCCTCTATCCCCTCCCCTCATCTTACGTCCTCGCAGGGCATTGGGCTGAGATTGGAGGATGCACTCACATCATGTCTGCTCCTTCTGTTTCTTTACTATATTCCACCCCACCTTCATGCACTTCCTCTATTCCCTCCCCTCATCTTACGTCCTTGCAGGGCATCGGGCTGAGATTGGAGGATGCACTCACATTCTGGCGCTCTGAGTTCTCCAGAAAGGTATGTCTGCTCAGCCCTGCACTCTTGTGGCGACTAACAAATTGTGATATTTTTGAAAAGCACGTATGCTTATGGCATCGTTCCCAATCTCCTTGGAGGCACCTCATCAAGCATCGAGCTGAGGTTGGAGGATGCACTCGCCTTGTGGCGCTCTGAGTTCTCCAGAAAGGTATGTCCGCTCAGCTCTGCACTCTTGTGGCGACTAACACATTGTTATATTTTGAAGCACCTCACCAAGCATCGAGCTGAGGTTGGAGGATGCACTCGCCTTGTGGCACCTATCCTTGCAGACTACACTCCATCCACATAAACACCCATACTTAGATGCCGCTTTTGCTTTTTTCTTTTTGCATTATTGCTATCACAGATGGGTGCGGAGTGGTTCGACAAGGAGTATGCGTATTCCATCCGGCACAACTACGGCAAGGAGGGCAAGCGCACGGACTACACTCCCTTCACACGAATACTCATTTTTTCTTTACCTTTGCATTTGTCTTGGACTGATATATGCAGATGGGTGCGGAGCGGTTTGACAAGGAGTATGCGTATTCGATCCGGCACAACTACGGCAAGGAGGGCAAGCGAACGGACTACACTCCCTTCTCCTGTGTGAAGGTCATCATGAGTACACCTGGGGTGGGAGATCACCACGGCTGCCCCTTCAAGCACTTCAGGTGTGTATTCCCTCAAAAGCACACAGTATTGTGCTCAGTGTTCTACTGAGGGCAAGCGCACCGACTACACTCCCTTCTCCTGTGTAAAGGTCATCATGAGCACACCTGGCGTGGGAGATCACCACGGGTGTCCCTTCAAGCACTTCAGGTGTGTGAGTCTTTCTGAGGTGTAATCTTCCACAACATTCGCCCTTTTCCCTTGTATATTCGCAGCATGAACCCTAAACCCTAAACTCCAGAGCTGCCCTTTTTGTAGTCAACTAAGAGGACGTTGTCAATACCAGAAAATATACTCTTATCCCTCTGGCATGCCTGTACTATGCGCAGCGAGGACAACTTGAGAGCTGCCCTTTCTCGCATGGGGGTGTCGTCAGGAGCAGCCATGGATGAGATCATGCAGAAGACACGGCAGCAGCACTACCAGGTAGGCTGAGGGTAGAGAGAATAATCTTTGAGGCGCCTTGAAATGTCAGGAGCAGCGGGGGATGAGATCATGCTGAAACACACCAGCAGCACTACCAGGGAGGCTTCCCTGACAATCTTTGGTGTAAGCTCGCTGAGTCTGTTCACGGTAACTGATATTAATGGATTGATTTCCTTTTAAATCCCTTTTTACTCCTAACTTTTCCTGGGATGCTTGATTTGTCTGTGGCAGATTTCCTGTGCTTTGACATTTGAAGCATCGCAAGGTGCTCCATGCCCCACGGGGATCACACATCCGAATCAATACTTCATGCTCAGCAGACAGGTTATTGAGGTATGTTCAGGAGCATGATAATTTAAATCATCTATGTATTTATCTACTGTTTCTTATCAATCTAAGTATGTAAACTATTGTTGTATGAATGTGAATGCAGGGACGAACTCAACCAGCTCTCCCACAAGGGCAAGGACAACAACCACGGCATCCAGAGTCAAATGCTAATAATCCAAGGTCGGATGCAGCTGGTAGCAACATTGGAAGGGAGGGGACAACGGATCCATGTTCCTTGCAACGTGCGGCTGGAGGGGATGCGAGACCCCAGCTAGTTATTGGAGAGATGAATGTTGACACCTGAAATGGGAATATTGCTAGTAATGGCATGGCAGTGTTTGATAGCCTATGTACACAAGTGAGAAGGTATATATGATGGTAGTGTGTTGTGTACGAAGTTTACTTCAGGTTTCACCGGAAATTATATCATTTGTCAATTCAATCAGGCTCGAGGCTCGACCTAGAGCTTATCGAAAACGAACACTTCAGTTCAACTGCTTTCTCGCTGGCCATCCCTGATTCATGCCTGACTGATGCACTTTGGCGAACGCGTTCGCATAATCGTTCGGTTCAGAGCGCTCCCTAATTGAGCTGAACGATGATGATCAAATCGCACCGCATATACTTACACCGCACAGAACGATGATCAAATCGTAGCCAAACGATCTGTACCAAAAATCAGCAATTCTCGAGATATTTTCTTGTAGGTGGCTTGATCTCGATAACTACGAAGCCACTTTGGCTTCTGAAGGCTGTATGGTTCTGCTCCGGCCAGATCAACATCAGACCTTGAATTGCAGCTTGGTCTTCGGGCGAAATTAGTTGGTCCTCTACTTATTTGAGTCCTTCAATAGACGTTGCTGGAAGGCGATTAAGAAGGGCTCGCCATCATGGGGAAGGCGGAAATTATATCGAACGTTTTGTTAGCTGGTAGGATCTTGTGTGATGCCTGCCGTCTTTCGCGCGTTTCCGTGCAAATTTACTTGACATCCTTGTCTAAATGATTTTCACAAGTCAATCCGTCCGAGATCCGAAAAATTACCCATTGTTTAATCACGTCCATTCTTCATGCAATTAGTATTAACACACATTCTGGATCCGTACTTCCATTCGAGTCCCATCTTCAACTGTTCACGAAATTTCAGTTGCTTGACCTTTAAGTTTCTGTGACTGTGTTAAGCTGAACAGCAGCTCAGTATATATTCGGTATCCCCTTTTTCCCTGTCCATTCTAACGTCAATCTGACGTTGACAGGTCTATCCGTGGCTCCGCTCTTCGTGAAAATCAACCCCAACTTCAATGTTGTCGCCATGGCTTCGCTAACCGTATTCGCTGGCTGTTACCGATCCGTCAAGCCGGCCGCTCCAGCTGTGAGTAGACCATTTGAGTCTTGCGGCTCTAAATTCATCCCAAAGCGTATACTCTCGTTACGACTAGCATCGCCAGCCTTGATTGCTGGTCTTTTTTTATTGTCTAATCTGAAAAAAAACTAGGAATTACCTCATTTCGCATGTCCTCACCACCGTCTGATATCCCTACTACCCCCGTCGTTCTCTTCCTCATTCTCTATCATAGACACGAGATCACTTGGAATTCACTTCTAAGTATTCCACCTTTCCGCTTCGATCCGTGCAGGCGACGATGTCAAAGGAGCACGCCATGGCGATTCCCACCATGAGCCATTATCACCCTTCCCATTTCCCTCACATCCCTTCTCCCCCTCTTCTCTCCCCTGCTGCTCCTTCTCTTCCCCCTTCTTGCGCTATCCGTGCAGGAAACGATGTCGAAGGAGCACGCCATGCGGTTCCCCATCATCGGCAGCTGCGTGCTCTTCTCGCTCTTCCTGCTCTTCAAGTTCCTCCCCAAGGACCTCGTCAACATGGTGCTCAGCGCCTACTTCGTCTTCCTGGGAGTCATGGCCATCGGGTAAGCCATTGTCGACTGGCGTGCGGTGAGGGGGAAGAGGGGAGAGAAAAATGGCGGAGGGGGGTGGGGAGAAGGGAGGGGGGGATTTTGGCGTTGACAATACGTTTCACTTCTCAAGTTCCTCTCAAGGACCTGGTCAACATTCTGCTCAGCGCCTACTTCGTCTTCCTGGGTGTCATGGCCATCGGGTAAACCACCCAACACACCTACTGGCTCTGTGAAACCTCAAATTTCGCAGTGTGAAAACACATATTCGTCTCGTCTGGGATCAGATTCACCTTTTTGTAGTTCCTCTCATTTACGTTTTTGCCTTGGGTTTTGTGTGCATTCCTGCCCAGTGCCTACTGTGCTTGCACACACTTCCACCAGTCTGCCATTTCACTCTCGAGTTTTTCAGAATTTGCCTGCTTTATGCAACCCCCCAACTTTTCTCTTGGCAGGGCCACAATTCTTCCCCTTGTGTCGCGATTTGTTCCTGCGAAGTGGAACGAGGATATTTTCTACTGGAAAGCACCCTACTTTAAAGGTATTCGTCGGTTTATTTCTTCTCGTTTGCAATCATTGCCTGTACACATTCTGGCAGCTGAACATACAGCACCAAATCACCAAAAGGCTTGCAGAAGAATTGCGGTTTTTGGCTGTGCCAGCCAAGTAATCACCTTGGCCTACCGTCGTCCCCAGATGTTGAAATAGAGCTGAAAATAGCCTAGGCTTCGGCTTTTAAGTAAACTAAGGTTTTACTCTGATCCGGACCTCTCAGGCGATGGCTGGCCATTCTCAACCAATCCTGCTTTGGGATGAATTTAGATCCTTCACTCTTCCTCTCTACCACGTCCCTCCCTCCCACCCCATCTCTCTCTCCCTCCGCCCGTCTCTCTCCCTACCTCTATTCATGCCCAGATTTCGAGATAGAGCTGACGATGGCGCAGGTGGTGGCGGGCATTCCAAGCTCGGCGTTCTGCGTGTGGTATGTCACGCGCAAGCACTGGTTCGCCAACAACGCCCTCGGCCTCGCGTTCTCCCTGCAAGGAATTGAGATGCTCTCCCTCGGCTCCTTCAAGATCGGTGCTATCCTGCTGGTGAGGTTAGGCTCTGGGGTCACTAGTTGCTGGGTGGTTTCAATGCCTCGCCTTCTCCCTGCAAGGATTGAGATGCTCTCCCTCGGCTCTTTTAAGATTGGAGCAATCCTGCTGGTGAGGCCATGTGCTGCTGGTGAGACTATGCGCACCGCTCAGGCTACAGGCTGGGCGTTCCTGGTAAGTTGGGCGTGTTGGGTCAAACCTAGCCCACAAGTTCCAAAGTCCACCAAAGGTCTGCAGGGCATCGAGATGCTCACTCTCCTTCGGCTCCTTCAACATTGGCGCCATCCTGCTGGTGAGGTCCGGGGTGTGGGATCAATGGTCTAAGCTTGTACAGTGGGATGTTTGGTGGTTTCAGTCAACACGGCTTCTCATGTCCACCAAACGTCTGCACGGCATCGAAATGCTCTCACTCGGCTCCTTCAAAATCGGAATATTCTGCTGGTGAGGTGGAAAGGTGGGTTCATTTTCAAGCCTGGTTGGTGGGTGGTTCGGTGATTCCAAGCCCACAGGTTTCCAGGTACACCACTGACCTGCAGGGCATAAATTTGCTCTCCCTTGGCTCCTTCATTCAAGATCGGTGCCATTCTGCTGGTGAGGTTGGGTTGGGGAACCAGTCAATGATTAAAGCCTAATTCGTGGGCGTGGTTTTGCTATGGTCGTGTCCGTTTCCTCTGCGCCCGAATCTCACCTCCTTCCGCCCATCCCTTCACCCCCACCCTCCACGCTTGACTCCTACCGGCCCCTTCATTTTTCTCACTGACCAGGCTGGCCTTTTTCTTCTACAACATTTTCTGGGTCTTCTCCACGCATGGCCTCTGTCGTTGTTTCCTCCCCCCTCACCGTTCCCAATCCCCCCACCCGCCCCACCCACCCCTTCATTCTTCCTCCCAACCAGACTGCTCATTTCTTCTATCATATCTTCTGGAACCTGTTCACTCCCCCTATAATCTGCTCTGATCGTTTCCCCTGCGCCCAAATCTCACCTCCTCCTGCCCATCCCTTTCCCCTTACCCTCTCCACCTGGCCCACCCTGTACCTCGTTCTCCCCCCAACCAGACTGGTCTTTTCTTCTACGACATCTTCTGGGTCTTCTTCACTCCGGTTATGGTCTGCTACATTGTGGTCAAATCCTGCCTCCTCCCACCCATCCGTTCCCCCCCCCACCACACCCTCCCGTTCCCCCCCACGTGCCCCCTCATTCTCCCCTCCCCCAGACTGGTCTTTTCTTCTACGATATCTTCTGGGTCTTCTTCACGCCAGTTATGGTTTCTGTCGCCAAGTCATTTGACGCACCCATCAAGGTATGCACGAGTAACTAACAAGCATATGAGCTGCAAGGTAATCATCGTAACGAGCAACCATGCACCCCTCGCATCCAGCCATCGCATGCGACAATTTCATGCAACCCTCGCATGTATGATGCACCCCTTGCATGCACCCCTTGCATGCGCCCTTCGCATGCAACCCTCGCATGTATGATGCACCCCTCGCATGCACCCCTCGCATGCACCCCTCGCATGCACCCCTCACATGCACCCCTCGCATGCAGCCATCGCATGTACCCTTGCATGCAGCCATCGCATGCAACTCTTGCATGCACCCCTTGCATGCACCCGTGCACCCCTCGCATGCAACCCTCGCATGCACCCCTCGCATGCATCAAGGTGTGCATCCACCTTACTGTTTTTTTTTTTTTTCCAGTTTGCCTCCTGTAGTGCCCTTCACACGCTCCTTAACACATTCTTACACTCATGCCTCAACTCCTTCACCTTTTCTCCAAACCACTGCAGCTGCTGTTTCCAACTGGTGACCTCGCAAGGCCTTTCTCCTTGTTGGGTCTGGGCGACATTGTTATCCCTGGTATGCTAGCTACCGCTGCTCCTTCTGTCACCTGCAGCTCCTGCTGCCACCTGGCACTTTTGATGTTCCGTTGTACAGGATCTCTATGGAATGTGCCGTATCATTGTTAAAGTTGTTGTATTCTGGTGAGGACGACATGATGCTTGTTGTTGTCCACTACTTCCTACTGCATTCTTCCTACTGCATTCTTCCTACTGCATTCTTCCTACTGCATTCTTCCTACTGCATTCTTCCTACTGCATTCTTCCTACTGCATTCTTCCTACTGCATTCTTCCTACTGCATTCTTCCTACTGCATTCGTCCTACTGCATTCTTCCTACTGCATTCTTCCTACTGCATTCTTCCTACTGCATTCTTCCTACTGCATTCTTCCTACTGCATTCGTCCTACTGCATTCTTCCTACTGCATTCTTCCTACTGCATTCTTCCTACTGCATTCTTCCTACTGCATTCTTCCTACTGCCTTCGTCCTACTGCATTCTTCCTACTGCATTCTTCCTACTGCATTCTTCCTACTGCATTCTTCCTACTGCATTCTTCCTTGAGGGTTCTCAGGATAAGTTTTCACTTCTCTCTGTGTTTCACTAACTGTTTACCACCTATCTGTGCACCCCTCACCCCTCTCTGCACCCACACTTCCCACTGCAGGCATCTTTGTGGCACTCGCTCTAAGGTTCGATGTCTCTAGAGGCACTGGGCCGCGTTACTTTGTCTCCACGTTTGCCGGTTACATGGCTGGCATCATTACCACCATCTTCGTAATGAACTACTTTCAAGCTGCCCAGGTATGTGCATAAGCATGCTAAAGTTAACTCACCCTTCGTTATCATAGAAAGGCTGGAAGTTCGGTTTCTGCATCCTGTCCTGTGTTTCTTGTGCGTTTCATGCGGATGCTCTCTGTGTGTGCAGCCTGCCCTGCTTTATATTGTTCCCGGCGTGATGGGTTTTCTAGGTGTACACGGAGCAATCCGAGGAGAACTCAAGGAGGTATGGTTTGACTATCATCCTTGTTCTTGCGCTAAAAAATTTTCATTTTTTTTTTTTCCTACTTGGAACAGAAAATGGTGATGTTTAACTCAGTACCGTTTCGTGTGAGCAGCTATTGGCTTATGATGAGTCTGGGGATGGTGACGATAAGGATGGTGAGCATGACGGTGAGGCGACTAAGAAGGATGGAGAGAAGCCATTAACCACACCAGCCCCGTCCACAGAGAAGTCTGGAAAGGCTGATTAAAAAGTTCGTTTCTTATCATAAGTGTACATTAATCTTGATAATCTAAAATTTATGATTCATGCTTATATTTGTCATGACCAACCACCGAAGGGAACTTATCGGTACGTCAAGTGAACCATTGCTGATGTGTCAATTTCGTCAGACGGTATTGAGAGTCCAGCAGGGATCTTGAGTTCCCAAGAGCACTAGTGGTTGCTGCAATCTTCTGGAAGGTCTTTTGGTTCTGAGTCCGACCTAGTTTTCAGGGAATAGAGATATCTACAGCAAAGCTAACCAGACCAGAGCTGCTAACTGTGGAGAGGGTCAAGGGGAGTTGAGTATCCCCGTTAGTTTCCTCTTTTAGTCCTCCTCGCTGCGGGTGTGAGAGGCCCGAGCATCGCAGTCTCTTATACCGTTCACAAAAGATCCAGTTTCCCGATTCGTCGGCTGATTTTGAGAGTCGCGTGCGTACAAGCACCGCGTCGCGATGGACGCGATACGGAAGCAGCTCGACGCGCTGATGGGGGCCAACAGGAACGGCGACGTGGAGGAGACGAACAAGAATTACTACGACCGGGATGTTTGTCGCGCGTTCCTCTGTGGCCTGTGCCCGCACGACCTGTTCACTTTAACGGTCAGTTATCGGCTATTGTAAGAGGTTAAGATTCAATACGACCGGGATGTTTGTCGCGCGTTCCTCTGTGGCCTGTGCCCCCACGATCTATTCACGCTAACGGTTAGTTACTCGCTATTTGAAGAGGTAAGATCTACTACTACCGGGACTGATTGCGTTACATTATTTCTTTCCTTTTTTATACGTCTGCGGATCTTCACCATTCTCTGATGTTCCATTTCTCACTTCTTTCCCCTGTCTCTGCCGTTCCGGGTACATGTCGCCTCCGTTATTTTTGTTCGTTTTTTTTTCGCTATTTGTTTCATTTCGTTTTCTTCCAGAAAATGGATCTTGGACCCTGCTCCAGGGAGCACTCACTCCGTCTTCGAAAAGAGTAAGTAAAAGCGTTGATTGTAAGCATTTCGAAATTTGTTTTCGAGCAGGAAAGTATTATACTTCTGTTTGGTATTGTATCGACGCTCTTGCGTCTTTTTTACGCGTATAGATACGAGGACGCGAAGTCGAAGGGTTTGGTGGACTAGGAGCGAGAGCTGGAGGGCATCTCAGAGAGGCTGATCGTGGAGTGCGATCGCATGATGCACTCCACCGTACTCTCTTAAAAACCCCCCTTTGTGTTCTTAACGCGTACAGATACGAGGAGGCGAAGGCGAAGGGACTGGTGGACTATGAGCGAGAGCTGGAGGGCATTCTGGAGAAGCTGATCGTGGAGTGCGATCGCAAGATCCAACGGTCCTTCAAGCGCCTGGAGGACGAGGAGGGCGCGGCTGCTCTGAACGCCGTTAAAGTGTCCGAAGTCACTGATGTGAGCTGATGGCGGTTGGATGGAAAGAGGGAGAGGGAAGGGGAGAAGTGGAGGGAAAGCGAGAGGGGGAGGGTATCTGAACGGGGGAGGGAGCGGATGAGAGCTGCGCTGAACCTTGTGAAAAGTGTCTGAAGTCATTGCTGTAAGCCGATGGTGGCTCTGAGGGGAGAGGGAGAGTGACAGGGAGAGGGGGAGGGAGAGGGAGAGGGAGAGGGAGAGCGACAGGGAGTTTGTGAATATCTGGATCGGACTGGAACATTTTTTACGGCTCAAATAGATAGGCACCTTGAACGCCGTGTCGGAAGTTACTGATGCTATCTTGCTTGTCCCCTCGTTTTTGTACTTCCGTTTGTCAATGTCTGCGTGTGACGCGTGGTTGCGTGTGGTTGCACACGGTTGCACGTGGTTGCATGTCGTAGCATGTGGCTCATAATGCTTCTTACGCTGATTAACTCGCACTTTGTGTGTTTGTATGTTTCTCACACTGCAGTCATCGGAATCGATAGAGCTGACAAAGAAGATCTATCAGAAAATGGCGGAGGTAGATCAGCTGGGTAAGCGAATGTTTCTTCAATATCTTGTTGCCAGAGATTCTACAACGTAACTGAGCTGTTTGTTCCTTCCCAGCGTTGGAGTCATGCTTGTGTCCTCTTTCGTTTTTTTTTTTTTTTTTTTTTTTTTTTACTTTCACGTTTCCATTGTCGTCCTGCTTTCTCGTTTCTCCCTTGTCTTTCTCTTTCTCCTGTATACTTCCTTTTTCTCTGCAGAGATGGAGAACAGGATGGACGACAAGATTCGGGCCACGGAGGAACTGGAGAAGCTCAAGCAGGAGCGAGCGGACAAGCAGGTGAGCACACACTCAGCACCTTCACACAGCAGATGAAGTGCCTTCGCATGACTCACAAACAGGTTGAATGACACTTCATTAATTCAATCTTTTGGATGTAGGGAGGGAGGGAGACCTTACATATGAGTAACGGCTGGGTATATAGGGTCTCCCTCCCTCGATCCGTAACCGCCCCGCTCCTCTCGTCTGTCGTTCCTTCACCCTGCTGTTTCGCGCTCAGGCCTAATCCAATCTTTACGCCTCCAACAAGGATCAGCTGTCTGGCCTACTCGTTTATGGGGGAGGTTGCAGTGCAGTGGCATGGCAGCACCCATACCCAACTAACCGCCTTCTGAGGCGCCTCAAAAGCAGTGCAGTGGGCGTGGCAGCACCCATACCCAACTAACCGCCGTCGAGCTCCTTTCTTTTAATTTCCTGCTAAACCCGTTGTTCAATCCGTCAGGCCCAACCCATCCTCGACGCATTCAACAAGGATCGACTCTCCGGCCCTCCAGCCCCTGGGGGGACCTGCAGTGGCAGCCCTGATTTTCCATCTTCCGCCCCTCTTCCCCCCTTCCGCTGCCTTTCCTTCTCCCGGGTAATCCTCTCTCAGGCCGCATCCATTCTCGACGCGTTCAACAAGGATCGCCTCTCCGGCCCCCCAGCCCCTGGAGGGCCGGCGGTGGCAGCACCGGTGCTGAGCCAGCCGGACAGCAAGACGCAGGAAATGATTAAGGAGAAGCTAAGGCGCGCGGAGCAAGCCGGTGAGTGCTGTAGGCTGATTCGAGGGAGGGAAGGGTGGGAAGAACGGCGAGACTGGGAAGGGTGGAAGGGGTGGATTGCTGGGCTGGTGGCAGCACCTGTGCTGAGCCAGCCTGGCAGCAAGACGCAGGAGATGATCAAAGAGAAGCTGTGACGGGCGGAGCAAGCCGGTGAGTACTTTTTATCTCTCTGTGTGTGTCTTATCCCATTCAATGAAGGTATAAATGAAGGTTAGGGCCGGCAGCAGCAGGAATCATGACTAGCTTACAGAAAACAGGAATTGAATTTGCTTCAGAGCAATCCCTCCTCGTATAGACCCACTCCCCAACACCCCTTCACATCCCCTTCCCGTTTTCTCTGTTTCCGTCTCTCCTCCCTCTGTCTCCCCCCCAACTCCGCCGTCTCCTTACTTTCCCTCAATACCCACCTTCTACACCCTTTCGCATCCCACCCTTCCCTTCCCCTCTCGCCGTCTCCTCCTTACCCCTCTGCTGTCTCCCCCTCCCACCTCCTCCGCCTCTTTGCATTCGCAGGAGAGGAGGGGCGGGTGGACGAGGCTCAGAAGCTCATGGAGGAGGCAGATGCGCTTAAGAAGGTGTGTGGGGTGGTGCGATGGGTTCTGGCTGGGTTGGTTGGGTTGGGTTGGGTGGCCGGTTCGGTGGGTTGGGTTGGGTGGGTGGTTGGGTGGGTTGGTTTGGGTTGGGTGGGTTGTTGGGCTGCGTTGTTGGGCTGCGTTGCTGGGCTGCGTTGTTGGCCTGCGTTGTTGGCCCGGGTTGTTGGCCTGGATTGTTAGGTGGGTTGGGTTGGGTGGGTGCACTGTTCATTCCACTGCACAGTCATTCGTGCATCCATCCTCCAATCCTCTTCGTTACTTACCTGCCTTTCTCTTCTTCTCTCTTGCAGCTCGCCATGGCTCCAAAGCCAGACCCCATTGCAAGCCTCGGCTTTCAGATCGTGAGTCTGCCTCTCTCCCATCATTCCATCCTTCTCCCATCATTCCATCCTTCTCCCATCATTCCTTCCTTCTCCCATCATTCCATCCTTCTCCCATCATTCCATCCTTCTCCCATCATTCCATCCTTCTCCCATCATTCCATCCTTCTCCCATCATTCCATCCTTCTCCCATCATTCCATCCTTCTCCCATCATTCCTTCCTTCTCCCATCATTCCATCCTTCTCCCATCATTCCATCCTTCTCCCATCATTCCATCCTTCTCCCATCATTCCTTCCTTCTCCCATCATCATGCCCTTCCCTTTGCTCTCACCCCGTTTGCGCTTCCACTCGTTTCATTGTAAGCCCCGTTCCCGTCCAGCCCTTCCCTCCGTCGCACACCTGTGGGGCATTCCTTAGCATATTCGAACATGCCCATTCTGAAGGAGCCTTAAGAATCGTCTCTGTTCACTTTTCCTTCTCTCCGCGTCCCTCCCTCGCCTGCTTGCTCTATGTGTGGTCTGCCAGGCGGATCAGAAGCTCCGGGTGTGCGACATCTGTGGGGCATTCCTGAGTATCTTTGACAGGTGCGATTGGGGTCTAGACCTCTAGAGTCCAGTGCTTTTTGTCAAGAGTTCCAAGCAATCGCGCAGGCGGATCAGAAGCTCCGGGTGTGCAACATCTGTGGGGCATTCCTGAGTATCTTTGACAGGTGCGATTGGGGTCTAGACCTCTAGAGTCCAGTGCTTTTTGTCAAGAGTTCCAAGCAATCGCGCAGGCGGATCAGAAGCTCCGGGTGTGCAACATCTGTGGTGCATTCCTGAGTATCTTTGACAGGTGCGATTGGGGTCTAGACCTCTAGAGTCCAGTGCTTTTTGTCAAGAGTTCCAAGCAATCGCGCAGGCGGATCAGAAGCTCCGGGTGTGCGACATCTGTGGTGCATTCCTGAGTATCTTTGACAGATGCGATTGGGGTCGGGGTCTACTCTACGCTATGTGCCATGACATGCGAGGCATGTAGACTCGCTGTGTGCCATGACATGCGAGGCATGTAGACTCGCTGTGTGCGTCTAGAGTCCAGCGCGCTGAATGGCGTCTACTCTCAAACGTCTACTCAAAACTGTTTAATATCATATGCTTGATCGTGGGGGTGGTTCTGTCTCCTCACTGTTTTTCCCTGATTGCCTTCTCTCCCTCTCCCAATGCACACCCCTTTCCACGCACAAACAGCGACAGGCGGCTGGCTGACCACTTTGGAGGGAAGTTGCATCAATCTTAGCTTATTCTCTTCTCTTACCTGCGTACTCTCACTCCATGCACACACCCCTTTCCACGCACAAACAGCGACAGGCGGCTGGCTGACCACTTTGGAGGGAAGTTGCATCTGGGCTATCTCTTTATCCGCGACAAGATCAACGACATTCGAGTGAGTGCATGTGCATGTGCATGTGCCCTGCGCATCACACTTCTCTGCAAGTCATTGTATGCTGCACAGCACAGCACATCATTCAAAGCTGCATCTGGGCTATCTCTTTATCCGCCACAAGATCAACGGCATTCGGGTGAGTGGGCATGTATGGTGCACAGCACATAGTATTGAAGCCCTGCCTTGAGACGTTTTTTCTATGGGTTGGTTGAGCCGCTTGTCCCATAGGGTGAGCTTCTGTCCAGGGTACTTGTTTCCCCCGTTTCTTGCCATTTCTTTCTTTGCTTGCGTTGTTCATTTTTTACCACCCACACATTTTCTGGTGATGGTGTCTTTTTCTGACCGAGAAAGGTTATTGCGGTAATTATTCACGTTATATTATAACATGCCCTTCTTGCTGGTTCTGATTGCAGGAGAAGAGGAGAAAGAAGGATGAGTTGCGGTGAGTCCATGTGATGGGAACGCGGGCTGTTTTATCTTTCGATTTCTGCAAGTGAACATGGGGTTTGTTACCCACCCACATATCTGATGCTGAGAAACCCGTGAGAATTGATTGTCTCATGCTTCTCCTCATGCTTCCCCTCATGCTTCTCCTCATGCTTCCCCTCATGCTCCTCCTCATGCTTCCCCTCATGCTTCCCCTCATGCTTCCCCTCATGCTCCTCCTCATGCTCCTCCGCCTTTTCCTCATGCTTCCCTCCCCCAGGCCCCGGTCTGAGGAGCGCAAGGAACGGACTGACGACCGAGACAAGGCCAAGGAGCAGGACAGGGATGGGGACAGAGACAGGGACAGAGACAGAGACAGGGATAGGGATAGGGATAGGGACAGAGACAGGGATAGGGACAGGGACAGGTACAGGGATAGGTACAGGGAGAGGGAGAGGGATAGAGACAGGGAGAGGGATAGGGATCGGGACCGCGATCGTGACAGGGACAGGGGGAGGGAGAGGGACCGAGATGACGACTGGGCCCGAGGCAGGGACAGGGACCGGCGTGGAAGGGACTATGACCGCGACCGGCGGCACCGGTAAGCTGCTTGATGCACATTCCCATCCCTTTCCTTTCCCCATGGCCATACTCATTGCCATACCCATCCCCATCCCCATCCCCATCCCATGTGCATCCCCATACCTATACCCCTACCCATACTAATTCCCATACCCTTATTGATTCCCATACCCATTTCAATCCCCATACCCATTTCAATCCCCATACCCGTGAACATAACCATGCCCATCCCCATTACCATCCCCATAACCATGACCATCCCCATGCCCATCCCCATCCCCATGCCCATCCCCATGCCCATCCCCATCCCCTTTCCAGGTCTCGCTCTCGCTCGCGATCCCGCTCTCGCGACCGCCACTCCAGGCGCTCAGACCGCTACTGACTTTCCAGTTGGGCGAATCATGATGCCTGTGAATCATGACGCAAAGTTCATCCAAACGCTCCCTTGCGCGTATTGAGGCATGTGACTTTCCAGTCGACTCATGCCACCAACTGTGTTAGTGCTGCACTCATCTTGCCCTCATGACCTCTCCTTCAGACACTAGAAAGCTTTGACCTTACAAATGTTTTTCTGGATTTGAACTAACAGCTGAATCCTGCAATAGCTAGACTCCAGCACTTCGCGATAACGGTTGTGGTGTGGTGGTCGCTTTGGATTGGCGGTAATGGATTGGTGGACCCTGTGGGTTTTTTTCTGGGGATCACTTTTTCAATTGAGAAAGCGAGAGATTGATCAGTGTGCAGATATATCATTTCATATTTTTAGATATTGTTTCTGTGTACAGTATTGAAGTGGAGGTGACAATCATTTCTACCATAGAATGCAATCTAGCCAGGCCCAAGTAGATCATTAGCATGCATTGAGCAGTCCACAAGTAGGCACTGCTCTGACAGCCTCAAATCAGCTTTGTACTTCAGTTGAGTCCTCAGTTTTCACCTATGGTAACTTAGCTTCGCTGGCCGACACTACAACGCACAAAAGAAAGTCCTTCATAAGCAGGTCAGAAAAGCATGAGACAAGCAGCAGCTGCCAGCGCAAGCACACTGAAAACCCCCCTAAAAGCCATCACCATTCTTCCAGCCTCCTTTGGGGGAGGAGGCGACGACGAAGAGCCTGTAGCAGCTGAATTAGCAGAGCCATTAGTAGAACTACTAGCAGAGCCATTGGCCCCACTTGGTGCTCCAGGGGCTGCCGGGCAGGAGGGGTCTGCAATGGTTCGGCCAATGAAAGGCTTATATTCAGGGTGCATGGTAACGTTGAGCTTTGAGATGGGGCACTCTTTCGTGGCGGGGAGCGAGTCGCAGCACACGTTGGTGTCGGGGAGCTTGAGCGGGCCGTTGTAGCACTTGTCAGTGCCTTCAAGAACCTGGGAGGGAGAAGGAGAGGAAGAGTGTCGAGATAGGAGCGGGGGGAGACGGAGTGGAAAGAGGAGTCAGGGAAAAGGGGAGTGGGTTACCGCACACGTTGGTGTCGGGGAGTTGTTTCGGGTTGTTGTACCAGTTGCCAGTGCCAGGTGACAAACATGGTGCAGTGAGTTGTAAAGAGCTTATCAGGATAATCTGCAGAGTGAAGAGCGGTGCAAAGAGCTTACCGGCATGACAACCACTGTGTAGTCAATAGCATTGAAGGCCTGGCCGACCCTCCCGAACAGGGTCATCACAAGCTTCAACTAGGTGCTCACAAGAGTGACCAGCTCGGTGCAGAGCGGTGCAAAGGGCTTACCGGAGTGACCACCACGGTGTAGTTGATAGCATCGAAGGCCTGGCCGACCCTCCCAAAAAGGGTCGTCATAAGCTTCTCCCCTGAGTTGAAGTACTGAGAAATGGCGCCTTGGAAGCCGGGCACTGTGGGAGTGGGGTGGGGGGATTTGAGGGATGATGATATTCAAGAGAGAGAGGTAGTTTTTAGGTACCGCAACAGAAGTACCGCACTGCGAAATGGCGCCTGGAAACCTAGGTACTGTGGGAGTGGGAAGTCGAGGAACAAGATGAGACGGACAAACGGCTGGAATTGGGGAAAGAAGGTTGTGAGAAGGAAGCGACCACGAAGGTATGGGGTGAATTTGGAGTCAGGAATTCGATCACGTGGTTCCACCAAGGCTAATTAACCGCTTTATTATTGGTTACCTGGTTACATTTCTTTCGCAGCAGAGAGTGTTTAACGGGTTATATCACTTACGCGGCAGGTCCTCGCATTTTTCGTACACCTTGTCGGCGAAAGGCGTGGTTACTATGTTACATCACTTACGCGGCAGGTCCTTGCACTTTTCGTACACCTTGTCGGCGAAAGGAGCGCAAACGCGCATCTCGCCGACTACCCCGCGCGGGAGTTCCAAATATTTCCCCGAATCTGAGAGACAGTTTGAAAAATCAGACGCGGAAACGATGAGAATTAAGAATGGAGTAGCTTGGAGGAATGGAGAGCTCTGATAAATGGAGCGTTGACGAATGAGAGTTGCGAAGGAGTACCAAAGGAGCTACATTACTTCTCAACGGTCCTGACGTTCTCTGAAGCTCACGAACGATGATATTGAAATCACTTTTGGGAACTCTCAGGAGCCTTCAGCAGCGCACCTGGATTGCAGCCCGTGGCGCAGATCATCTGCTCGAGAAGGTCCTGACACTCCCTCGACGAACAACGTGGTGACTTTCGAAGTCGGTTCAAGAGCTAATCTCTCCGGCTCACCTGGGTTGCAGCCCGTGGCGCAGATCATCTGCTCGAGAAGGTCCTGGCACTCCCTGAAGTTCACGAACGACGAGCACAGCTGCACGCACACACGCACAAGTAACGAGCGGATGGCAGTTCCTCAAAAATCGTCTCAGTTCACGCGGATTTGATCTGGGCAATGTTTGTCCTGACACTCCCTGAAGTTCACGAACGACGAGCATAGCTGCACGCATCACGAACGACGAGCATAGTTGCTCGCACAATCAACGAACGGATTGCAGTTCTTGGTCGACTCAGAGTCAGCATTCTTGCAGGACAGCACGCGCTTCAGTGCGACTTTAATTTTTCGTCGGATCGTAACGATACCGTATGGGTAGTAAACACGTGACGGCCCCGATTACACACATATTTCAGTCTCAGCTTACCTTAATGTCTCTGTTATTAAAAACCTTCAGCAATTGATTATCTACTTTCAAGATGAGCGTGTTCTTAGTCGACTCTAAACACAACACGTCACGACTTCGATTGAACACACTCATTTCGATCTCAGCTTACCTGGACATCTTTGCCGCCGAGGAGCTTCGAAAGGCGAGGATCTACTGTGGAGATGAGCGTTGTAACGTTCGCGCTGACTTCGGCGAGCGCGTATCGTCTATCGGAGCAGTCCTTACAGCACGACATTTCAGCGGCGTCGAGGCACCGCGAGACCGATACTTTTGGTTTTGTCGGAGGGAGGCCTGTGAACGGACATAGAGGGTACTTTTCAGCAACGGTGACCATTGCGAGGAGAGCTATGGCGAGGAGCAAAGAAGCGAGCTTAGCTTTCCCCATGTCGACGCGGCCTAATGACTCTGAGCTGAGTCAGCTAGGAGCGGTCAAGATTCTTTGACTGAGAACTAGGCTTCACCACTATGCAACTATTTAGACGAGATAACCTGGATAACTCCTAGTAGCTGATCCTGAAAATCTGCGTGAGCTGCACTGGAAAGGCTTGCACACCCAAGAAATGATAAACTACACGGTGATTGGGTGAAGTGGGGACGAATACAAGCACGAGGAGGTCAGGTAAAGGTAAGGAGCGTGGGAGCAGAAGAAGCCGCTGAAGCCTGGTGATGACGATTCGGCGGCATTCCCAACCAAATGTGACGGGACGCGACACTGTCGAGGCTGTTTTCTTGTTTTCGATTCTAATGGAGCGATCGCGGAGCGATGTGCGCTCAAAACCACCGGGGTTTTCAGCTTAGCAGGGACAGGTACCTGGACCCCTCCGCTTTCAGGTAACGGGCAGCGCTTTCTGCGCACGGTTTCCGCAAAAGTCAGGGCTACCTGGAGGGTTATTGTTCAGGTTAGGGACTCGAGCTCTCAATGAGCCACGTGTCTCACTTTTCACAGAGAATTCACTGTAGGTATTCAATCACAGATTCCCTACTGCTCTGGCTTGTCGTTTCTAGCCAATTTGCGCTAGCGGCGCTGAACGACGCTACCGGGAACAATGTGGGCAGGGCATTAAAAAAATAAACCTTGACGCATTTTTGGGAGGGATCAACCCTCAACACGGGAAAGGGCATCGTGTTTAGGGTTGCCATCCCTTTCCGATCGGGATTTAGTTTTTTTTTTGGGTCAGGGGGTGCAACATATTTCCCCACATTTTCTCAGGATTTCGGGGTGCAATATACAGGTTTGAGAACAGTCTTTGGCGAGCCACCCCGAACGTGGGCTGGATTCGGCAGAAAATACAAACAGACGCAGTGCGGAATCTGTGATTGTAGATATACAGTGAGCGATTTGTGTAGGAGGTAACACGTGGCTCATGGAAAGCTCGAATCTCTAACTTGAAAAATGACTGTCCCCCCTAGCGTACTGTTTCGCGGAAACCGTGCTCAGAAAAGCTGTCCGTCCCCTGAAAGCGGAGGGTTCAGATAACTGTCACCGCTAAGCTGAAAACACGGCGGTTCGTCTTTTCCTCGGACACAGGACTTGAGTTCCCTAGAGGGGTTTCCCTTGTGTGTCAGGCTGAGGAACGCGGAAGCTCCGTCATAACGGTCTTTTGAGTGGAACTACTCCTGCCCTGAAAACAAAACAGACAAAAATCGGACGGACTGAAATTTGGCCCAACTTTTCGACCCACTTCATTCGGTCAAATCGAACCGTCGAACAATGCTGTTCTTTTTTTTGCGAGATCGAAAGTGATTTTGTGCCTGACCCAGGACTTGGCGGCAGAACGGTGCAACTCTTTGCTGCACGGGCGATCCGTGGGGAGGGGACAGGAAGCTCACCGTCGCGCTTCGGCAAACTATCCTTGATAGAAGCTTTATGACGCTTTATGACGTCCAATGGAAACAAGTGTGAATCGCATTCATTATGATTATGCAATCGGAATTTTTACAATTTCGATATTGCATTCCCCGTTCCACAAGCTGTCAGAAACGCCGAAGCCGTCGCGATATTTTTTGGAAACCGAAACGCGCCTGGCCTTCAGCGGTTCGATTTCCGAAGCAAAATCCACCGCGAACATCGCCCCCACCAGAACCTGACCCCGAAATGCAAGGCGGGTCGCGAGTTGAATAAACTTGGACGGGAAAACCTCCCATCCGTCCCTTAGCTTGTTCGATTTCTCTTCCCCCCCTTCCCGTTCCCCCTCTTTCTCCCCTTTCGTGCTCTCCCTTTCTCCGCATTTTTGTCGAAATCGGAATGGTGTTTCATTCACTATCGCTACTTGGCCGTAACACTTCACCTTTTGCTTAGACATACGCTTCAACCAGTAACTATCACATTCTGCTCGATAGAATACGTGCATATAACCTAGTGGGCCTTTTGAACTCCAATCGCGCGTAAGAGCTACGGTAGCCATCACAGCTAGACCAAGTCTCAGCAGATGATAAGGACCATCACATTTATCGATCCACGTGGCCATTGGTTAATACCTTCATAGTCAGCAACGTATTTTTCAGCCTCTATTTACTTCCCGTAAATCAATCAGCTCTTTTAGCTGACTGACACTTAAGATGGCGAAGTCACCACTGCCTGACACACGGACCCGTCAATCCAGCCGAATCTCGTTATCCTCACGTCTCCTATTCTCCCTCTTCCTCCTCTCTCTCGCCCTCATAGCACCAGTCTCAGCAGAAGACAAACCGAACTTCCCGTTATGTCCATACACGAAGCAACCGCCTACCAAGTCTAACTTAACATTTACGCGGTGCGTGGGAGCCACCAAGTACACGTGCTGCCCGGACTGCTACGACTTGAAACTCGCCCTGCTCGCCGTCAGCGCAAAGGGTTCCGGCATTCTTAATCAGATTTCGTCCGGCCTCGGTCGCGTGCTCGTCGGGAAAGACATTCAGGTGAGCGCCTCGAAGGCACGGGTTGGAGGTTTGGGGAGGCAGTCCAGAATTTTCAGTAAACGCCTGCAGCAGGTGAGCGGTTCGATGCCACGGAGTGGTGAGCTTTGGCGGAGGCTCGGTGTGAGTACTTGTGCTCGTCGCTTGCTCGTCGCTTGCTCGTCGCTTCCTCGTCGCTTCGTCGTCGGGAAAGACATTCTCACTTCCCCACTTTCCCACTTAACCATACTCCTAGGAATTTGCTCCCACACTCGCCAGTCGGCCGTCACTCGTCCCCTCTTCACTGTCCTCTTTCCATGTCAGCCGATTACCCCCTTACTCTTCCGTCAACAACCAATCGTCCCTCCTCTCTCTTCCCCCTCCCCCCTCCCCCATCCTCCTTCCTGCATTCGACCTTCCCCCCCAAGTCTGCTCCATCTTTGCCAGTAACTCCGCGTGTCAGTTGCTGCTCAATCAAGTCGTCTGCTTTCGAGACGCCTCAAAAGCCATTGCCCCTCCCCATTTCCCCGCTAAGCCGTTTCTTCCCCTCCCCGATCCCCCTCTTCCTCCTCTTCTTCCCCCCAGCTCTGTTCCATCTTCGCCAGTAACTCCGCGTGTCAGCTGCACCTCGAACAAGTCGTCTGCGCCAACGGCTGCGACCCAGGTGCGACTGCGTGCGACACATGTGTAACTTCCTGCGATCCAAGCGCGACTGTGTGTCATCTCCAGACGAATTATGCTGGCTACTTGTTTACGTCTGCTTGCTTACGTCTCGGCAGACCACCTTTCTTCTTGTCTTCCGGGCAGACCAGGCTCGCATTTTTTTCGGGTATCCTAGCCTGAAAAACAATCCATTTCCTCACCTGCCGTGGTTGCAGAGTCGGGAAACTACCTGGAAATTGTGGACCGAAACACCAAGGGCATCCTGTCCGTGTGCTCTGACTACTCCTCAGTCGTCTACGAGAGCTGCAAGGACCTTCCACGTGAGTTGCACCGAGTTGCACCGCTCTCAACCTCGTTGAAATCCTACAGCTCTTAACATTAAGGACATCCTGTCCGTGTCCTCTGACTACTCCTCTGTTGTCTATAAGAGCTGCAAGGACCTTCCACGTGGGTTGCACCGCTCTCAACCTCTTTGCACTTCTACAACTCCTCCAATACTCCCTGATGCAATATGACTGGATTTAGGTAATGTACACGGCCTGTACATTTGTGTATTTCAATCAGCCGTCCTTCCTTCCCCTCGCTCCACTCCCTCCTCCCATCCTGCAATCACCAGTGCCCGGCTTTGGAACCATGGCGGATTTCTTCCCTACTAAAGAGCTCTTCATGACAAAGCTCTTTGGAGCAGTCATCGGGCTGATCGGCAAACTCAACTACACCGTCAAGATCAAGCCGGTGAGCCCTTGCACTCTGCTGTTGCTGGTCTTGGCCAAACCGTTCCCTGGGCTGGTGGAGGCGAGGCCCTCAGCTCTTTGGAGCAGTCATCTGGCTGATTGGCAAACTGAACTACACCGTCAAGATCAAACCGGAGAGCCCTTGATCCTACTGCTTAACTGTGCAGAATACCACACCTATCACTTACTACCTGTCCTCCCTATAACATGAATCAATAACACCTTACTCTCTTGCGCCCGTTCCACCCTTTCCACTTATACAGGGCCCTGACGCATGCTATAACGGACCAAAGGCCCTCCCAGCAACCACCCTCTGCTGCGACCTATTAAAGGTCCCCCGGACGTGCCCGCGCGGCACCATCAGCTTTAAGGAAAACCCCGAGTTCCGCCCGTTTGTGGGCCGGCAGGTCGACAGCAAGGGCTATTGCGGCAACCCCAAACCCCCCATCTATTCTCCCCACAACACTAATTGATAACACCTTGCCCTCTTGCGCCCCCGTTTCACCCATTTCCTCCTATACAGAACAATGAAGCGTGCTATAACGGACCAAAGGCCCTCCCAGCAACCACCCTCTGCTGCGACCCTTTAAAGGTCCCCCGGACGTGTCCTCTCGGCACCATCAGCTTCAAGGAGAACCCCGAATTCCGCCCGTTTGTGGGCCGGCAGATCGACAGCAAGGGCTGCACTGAGAACCCTTCGCTTGCCATGCTCGGATCTACCCCTGATGGGGGGGCTGCAGGGAAGAAAAGCGCTGTTGGTGGCGGTGGGCGGGGGAGGGGGGCCGTGTTGGGGCTTGTACTGAGCTGGTTGGGAGTGTGGCTGGCGTGGGGAGGGTTGTGAGAGATGAATGAGTTTGTTTCTGTTGGGACCCGGCTTTGGCTCATGGGAGTTCTTGGTATGGTAACTGCTGCTATAGTTAGGAGCTGTAGGCCAGGTTGATTGAGCCAGCGACACCATTGTTGCTTGAGGTACCATACCTGGGATACCTGATCAAAGAGGTTGACTGACTCATCATTTGTACTCAGAGCATTGCCAAGGTACGGTACCTTGAGGAGGGTACTTCGTGCTAGTCTGCTAAGAATAATACCGTATTTATTCGATAACTAATGCATGGATGAAGTCACCAACATACGGTAAGCATGCACCATAATGGCAACAACAAAGAAAACAATAATAATAATAAATAAATAATAGCAATACCAAATAGAACAATAAGAATAATATTCATAATATCAATAAATACTACCATAATAACGCTGCGCCCGTTTTACACGTGTTCCATCCTAAGCTGTGATGCCATGCCATGGCACCAAGGAGGTGCTCCTCTAAAGTCATAACCGGCAGATCTATCTAACCACTCAGCTCGATTAGGCCAATAATAATTCCTGCGCCGCCCTAAATAACCACTGATTACACGATGTGTAAGAGCTGCTGCCAGCGCGAATACGCTGAAACCCGCCCCAGAAGCTTGAGCAGACACGGCCAGGTCAGGCATGGGAGGCAACGAAAAGCACATGGCAGGGGAATCACCAGCACAGGACCTGCATTGTGCGGTCGGACAGGCAGGGTCTGCAATGATTCAGCTGATGAAGAACCGTCTGAATTCTTCCGAGGCGCCTCAGAAGTAGTCTCGTCTCTCTACCCGGAACTTTCATATTTATTTCGTCTGATGAACAACCGTAAAAAAACCAAACCTTTTTCACATGAGAAGCGTGGAAGAAGCAGCAGCTGCCAGCGCAAACAGGCCGAACCCCACCATCCCAGAAACCAGACTGGTATGTTGGGCTGACTTGGGAGGGGGGGGAGGTGGAGAGCCCACAGCAGGGGAATCAGCAGCACTGGCTCTGCTTTGAGCGGTCGGACAGGTGGGATCGGCAATGGTTCGGCCGATGAAAGGAACAAACTGCAGGAACGAGGTGACGTTGAGCTTTGTGATGGGGCATTCCGGAGTGGTGGGGAGCTTGTCGCAGCACGCGTCGATTTCGGGGAGTTGCTTCGGGCCGTTGTAGCACTTGTCGGTGCCCTCGCTTGCCTGAGGGAGTGAGATAGCGCAGGGAGAGAACAGAGAGGGAGTGGGAGGAGGAGTGAGCACGTGTTGATTTTGGGGAGCCTCATCGGGCCGTTGTAGGACTTGTTGGTGCACTCGCTTGCCTGGAGGGGAGATGAGTGGGGAGAGAGGGAGCGGGGAGAGAGGGAAGGCGGGGAGAGGGGGATCGGGGAGAGAGGGAGCGAGGTGAGGAGTGGGGAGAGAGGGAGTGGAGAGAAGTCAGGGGAAAAGGGGAGGGGGTTGCAGCGCACCTTGATCTCGGATAGTTACATCAGGCCTTTGTAGCACTTGGCAGTGGCCTCGCTTGCCTGAGAGATTGGTTGTGGGGAGGAGAAGTTACAGGGATAGGGTACGCTTGCATGCACTTAGCAGTATTTCTGTCAACAAAAAAGCCTGTTGGAGTGACCAGAATGGTTTAGTGCAGCAAAGAAAACTTGTATGTAAAGTTTAGCGGAGTGACCAAAGTGGTGCAGTGTGGTACCAAGAGCTTACTGGGGAGACTTGTACGGTGTAGTTGAGAGCATTGAAGGCCTGGCCGACCCTCCAGAACATGATTGGGATGAGCTTCAGCTAGGTGCCCGCAGGAGTGACCAGCGCGGTGCAGAGCGGTGCAAAGAGCTTACCGGGGAGACCTTCACGGTGTAGTTGAGAGCATTGAAGGCCTGGCCGACCCTCCCAAACATGATTGTGATGAGCTTCTCAGCCGAGTTGAAGTAATGCCCTCTGGAGCCCTGAAACCCGGGCACTGTAGGGGTGGGAAACGGCTGGAGGGAGGAGGTTTGAGGCGTTTCAACACACCAGCCTGGCCTACCTTCTCGAATCGAACATGATTGTGATGAGCTGTTCGGCCGAGTTGAATGTGAAATGGAGCCCTGAAACCCGGGTACTGCTGGGGTGGGAGGCAGCAGTCGGGAAAAGCGGGAGGGGAAATTCGAGTGAGTGGGGATTCAAAGGCGTGGTGTGAGGGACGAGGGTATATGGAGTGAACGAGGCAAGGGAACAAACCAAGACAGCGACATCTTTGCATCTGCCGTGCAGCTCCAGCCCGTAAGGTGATTCGGGTGCGTACAGTACATAAGGTGCATAGGTACATAAGATGCACACGCACGCACGCACGCACACATCATATTTTGAGGCACAGTTACGACTGTCGATGTCTGTACATTCTTGTAATGTATTTGATATCAAAAATATAAATATATATATATATATATATTTTTTGAGGCGCAGCCTCGTCACTTACGCGCCACATCCTTGCATTGTCGTACAACTCCTGTGCACAAGGCTCGCAATGGATACCCAAGGCGCCTCAAATTCCTAGCTTACTTGGCACATCCGTGCCTGGTGGTTACCACGTCACTTACGTGCCACGTCTTTGCATTTGTCGTACAGCTCCTGTGCATAAGGCTCGCAAATGCGCATCAAGCCCACTTCCCCTGGCGGCAGCTCCAAATACTTCCCGGAATCTGCAATGCAGTTACAAAAATCAGACGCAGGAAGCTCTGATAAACACGCAGTTTGTGCATAAGGCTCGCAAACGCGCATCAAGCCCGTTTCCCCTGGCGGCGGCTCCAAATACTGTCCGGAATCTGCAAGGCAGTTTCAGACAACCAGACGCAGAGAGCTGACGATCGGAGGACTTTAGGAATGGGGAATTATGAGAAACAGGGAAATCCAAAGAACGGAGAACTTATAGGAACAAGGATCTCAAAGTGGTGAGCTTTTATAGGAATGGAGAACTTCAAAGGAATGGCGGACTTTAGAAATGGAGAATTTCGAGGATTGGCACGTGAGCTATGCCGCCAATACTCCCTGACATGACACTCCTTGAATCTCTGTCCTTGTTTTTGAAAAAGACCTCATCGCGGAAATGCTAAGGGCCCAAAGTCACAGAAATGTAACTTTTCCGTGACCTTTCTGTTATGAGTTGTAAAAGAGAGTGCGCAGGTAAACGAATAACGAGGCTGTGACTGAATCAACTGCGAATACAATGAATGCACAGACTAATGTAGGGCTAGCCTAGTTAGGAGGAAACCTCGGACAAGCGAGGTTGGGTGCAGGTTGGGCGATGGAAATGCCGAAGGCGACGCGAGGAGCCTCGGCAGCGTTGAAATCGGCCGAACGTGCAACTCCGAAAATCGGGTTGTACGCGAAGCAGTCAACCCCGATAAGGAATTCAGGAAAATTCCTTACACCACCCCCCCCTTTAAGAAAGGCGGTCAATATCCGAAACACGCCGGCGCGCCAGGTAATCCCCAACAAGTGGCGAGGCGTCGAGCGAGGCGGATGGCACCCACGTGTCGTCCTCACTGGTGCGGTCAGTCCAGCGGATTAGAAAATCCACGTGTCGTCCAGCTGCGTCAAGGCGGACCCTATGTGCCAAAATCTTCGATGGGTCGAGAGTCGGCTCCGGCACAGGTCGTGCTGTCGGGGCAGCTTGCTGACGTGCGATATCGGTCGTGGCTGGCACGAACTTGCGAAGAAGGCTGACGTGGAAGGCGTCGTGAATGCGCCAGTCGTCCGGTAGCAACAGCTTCGCGGTGACAGGTGTCACCATCTTGAGAATCTTGAAAGGTCCACAAAATCGTGGCCGTAGTTTCGACGGGCCGGGCAGGTGCAGGTTCTTCGTGTCAAGTAGCACTAGTTGCCCAGTGGTCAAGACGAGTTCCCGGCGTAGAAGATCGGTGTATTTTCGGGAAGTAATATTCGCCTTGCGGATTGCGTCGGCGGCTTTTTCTCGGACTTCCTGAAGTTCCGTCACGAAAGTCTGTGACCTCGGGACCGGGTTGTCGAGAGTGGTTGCCGTAGGAACTGTCAGGTCCATCCCGTAATTTAGAAAAAACGGGGAGTGATTAGTCGTACTGGACGGTGCGTTGTTGAAGGCGAACTCCAACATTGCGAGGGAGTCTTCCCAGCGGGCAGGGTCGGGGCAGTTTGTCCTGATCAGCTGCTCCATGGTCTGATTGGTCCGCTCGGTTTGACCGTCCGTCTGTGGGTGATATGCCGATGAGAACTGTAGCTTCGTGCCGTACTGCGCCCACGTCTCCTTCCAGAACTTTGATGTGAACTTCGGGTCTCGGTCGCTGATGATCGCCGAAGGGATGCCGTGCAGTCGCACGACCGTTGAGATGAAGAGGCGCGCAGTTTCTTCGGCTGTGATTGTCGTTCGGCATGGTGCGAAGTGCGCCATTTTCGTGAAGCGATCGACGACGACGAGAACGCGTCGTTGCCGGACGGCCCAACTGGCATCCCCGTGACGAAATCCATCGTCACTTGCTGCCACGGTCGTTCGGGTGGCTCGAGGGGTTGCAGCAGTCCAGCTGGCCGCTGACGTGTCGATTTCATGGCTTGGCACACCCTGCATGAGGACACATAGCGCTGCACGTCGTTAGAGGAATCAGGCCAATAGTATTGACGGTGCAGTAGTTTCTGGGTTTTGTCAACCCCGAAGTGTCCGGAGAAGTTCGAATCGTGGACCTCTTGGATAAGGAGTTCACGCAGCAGCCTGTAAGCGGGGACCCAAATCCGGTCGGTTCCGGCCTTTAGATAATAGTCCCCTTTCTGCGTCGTAGCCTGCCGATGATTTCCCGTCGTGAAGAATGGGTCCGTAGTGTAGCTGTGGGTAAATAGTCCGGTAAGTAACGGGTTCGAGTGGGTGATGAGTACTGCAGCGGATTGTACTGTCGGTCGGGTCAGGGCGTCTGCGATGTTATTCGCCCCCTTTTTGTACGTGATGCGGTAGGTGAAGTGGCTCTCCATGTAGTCCAGCCACCGAATCTGTCGTGGGTTGAGATTGGGTTGGGCTCGCAGGTACTGGAGGGACTTGTGGTCCGTGCGAACAGTAACGTCGGCGCCCACCAGGTAGCATCGCCATAATTTAAACGCGTGTATGATGGCGAGCATCTCCTTGTCGTGGATCGGGTCGTTGCGTTCAGCCGCCTGCAGCTTGCGTGATTCGTAGGCTATCGGCTGCAACCCGTTCCCGAAATCTTGGAGTAGCACAGCTCCGATGGCGAAATCTGAGGCGTCGGTGACGACTTCGAACGGCTTCGATGGGTCGGCGATGCGCAGCACAGGAGGGGAAACTAGAAAGTTCTTGAGTTCCTGGAAAGCCGCTTCTGCCTCCTCCCCCCACACAAAATTCCTGTCCTTGTGCAGCAGGTCGGTCAGCGGGCCGGTTATCCCCGCCATATTCGGGATAAACCGCCTGACGTAATTCACGAATCCGAGAAAACTCTGGAGTTCCGTGACATTCGTCGGGGACTTCCACTCCTGTATGGTCTTGATTTTCGCCGGGTCGATTTTAATGCCGTCGCGTGAGATGACGTGCCCCAAAAACTCCAACTCCTGCTTAAAAAACTCGCACTTAGAGCCCTTGGTGATGAGTCGGTTCTCCTGCAGCCGCTTAAACACCGCATCCAGGTCACGGAGGTGCTGCTCTCGTGTCTTGCTAAAAATGAGGATATCGTCCAAATAGACGATGACGCATCGGTCTAGAAGATCCCGAAAAAACCATGTTTATGGTCAGTTGGAATGTTGAAGGCGCGTTCGTGAGGCCGAAAGGCATCACCGTGAATTCGTAACTCCCGTAGCGTGTGCGAAACGCGGTCTTGTGACAATCGTCGGCGAAGACCCGAATCTGGTGGTAACCGCCGCGTAAGTCGATTTTCGAGAAGTAACGAGCGCCGCGAAGCTGGTCAAGAAGGTCGTCGGTGCGTGGGATTGGGTAGCGAGACTTGATGGTCACCCGGTTCAACGCGCGATAATCGATGCACATGCGAAGCCCACCGTCCTTCTTCGGAGTGAACAGGATCGGTGCCGCGAACGGGGAGGTGCTCGCCCAAATGAACCATTTTTCCAACAGTGCGTCAATTTGTCGGCGCAGCTCCTCGAGTTCCGGCTGGGTCAACCGCCACTGTGTTCGAACCGTCGGTTGCGCGCCAGGCTCCAGCTGGATTTTATGGTCTTCTGGTCTCTCGGGTGGCAGCCCAGGTGGCAGGTCGTCCGGGAAAATGTCGGGGTACTGTCGAATCAGCTCCGCTAAATCCGGAGGTACAGCTGCACACAGCTTCTCAATGTCCTTTCCGTCGGTGTCGACTGCCAACTCGCGTAAGCAGACAGCGAACAGCTGCGCGCCCTTGTTGAAGTGGCGAGCTATGGTGATGGCTTTGACGCACGGGGCTTGGATGTAGTCAGGTGTCCATGCAGGCAGCCGAATTAGCCCCTCGTGCTTGCTGATGCTGCACGATCCCGTTGTCCAGTCGATGACGGGGTTGTGTCGTCGCAACCAATCGCGTCCCAGCAACACGTCGCGGCCGTCCAATGTTGTCGCGAGAAACTTCATGCTGAAGCCGAAATCGTCGCCGCATTCGATCCTGACCGTCCGTGTTTCTTCCGTTATCGCCAGAGGCGTCCCATCCACGAGGCGTGCGTCGATTTCGGGCAGACACCTGTCAAGTTGTAGCTTGCATCTTTTTGCGCTCGCCAAATTGAAGAGGCTATGGCTGGCCCCTCCATCGACGAACATTTTCAAATTATTTTTTAACACCTTGCCAGCGACCAGCACAGGGTGATCCACATGATTATCCCCGTTATTCGGCCGAGTGCGATCGATTGCATGAATCGGAACCACGACTCGGTGGGGATGATGGTGTTCGGGCGACGGAGCACAGTCAGTAAAGGGCCCGCTAATTACTGACTCTTCCCATTTCCCTGCTCCTTCCTGTCGTCCCCTGTCAGCGGCATTTTCTCCTGGCAGTCTTTCCTGTAGTGACCCACCTTCCCACACCGAAAACACTGACCCTTAGGAGGGCGGTCGGGTGTATGGACGGCGTTGATCGTGGCCCGATGGGTCTGGCCACGAAAGCTTCTCCCATCCCTGGAAGCTGCTCTCGCGTACTGCATCAGCGCATCAGTTGACTCCGCCACTCGTACTGCTTCGAGGAACGATGTCGGGCGGCTTCTGCGGACCTCAAACTGTATTTCATATTTAAGGCCGCTGACGTACTTATCCAACCGCTCTGCTTCCGACATGTCGTCAATTTGGTCGGCGAAGCCCATAAATGACGCTGTGTAGTCTTGGACAGAAGCCATCTGCGACCATGCACGCAGCTTCATGCGAGCTTGCTCCGAGGCGGATATGTGCTCGAAGCGATCTCGTAAGGCTGCGCCCCACTCCTTCCACGTGCGTATCTTGGTCACACCGAAGATTGGTTCTGCCACTTGATTAACCACTGTAGAGGTCCCGTCTGCCGCATGTGTCACACCTGTCGGCGTCCCTGTTTCCAAGGTCCGGCGCCACCATTCAAGCGCTGCACCTCGAAGAAGCGAAACCGCGTAATTAATACGCGTGGCGTCGTCATTAACTCCGGCTGCAGTAAAAAAGACTTCGACCCCGAACAACCACCCTTTTACCGTAACCGTCTTGTCCGTAGGATTAAACGGGGGCGGGTTGGCGGGGTTTATCTTGATCGTCGTCACTGCAACTGGCGCTGCTGCCGCTCGCTGCCTATCTTCTTCTTCGAAGTCACGTGTGAGCGCATCCAGCGGATTGCTCATCGCTTGACTGTTGCCCTCGCCTTCGTCCACAGGCGACTCCTGACGCGCTTCACCTCGCGTCTGGCGTAGCTCGGCGTTTTCCTCCCGTAACGTTGTCACATCCGCCATTAATGATTCCATGCCCTGCTTCATTTCTGCCACTTGCGCCATCAGCCGGTTAACAGCCTCCTGATCCATGTGCCTAGCACTACGTCTGGTGGGCAGTCGGGTACCCGTGGCCTCCCGGCAAGTGAAAACACGAACTATCGGAGTCGGGCAGGATTGAATTAACAATCCCTGCAACCAACCGTCGTGTAGTCACTAAACCAACCACACCCGTGCCACCAAACTACCCTCGAAAAGCGGGGTGAACTAGGAAAGTAGCTCTGATACCAGGTGTTATGAGTTGTAAAAGAGAGTGCGCAGGTAAACGAATAACGAGGCTGTGACTGAATCAACTGCGAATACAATGAATGCACAGACTAATGTAGGGCTAGCCTAGTTAGGAGGAAACCTCGGACAAGCGAGGTTGGGTGCAGGTTGGGCGATGGAAATGCCGAAGGCGACGCGAGGAGCCTCGGCAGCGTTGAAATCGGCCGAACGTGCAACTCCGAAAATCGGGTTGTACGCGAAGCAGTCAACCCCGATAAGGAATTCAGGGCAACATGCTCACCAGGGCTTTTGCTTTACATTATGTGATTCGGCCAGTATGTGATATGACTCTCATTCCTGTAAGTTAGACCTTCTCATTCCTGTAAGTTAGACCTTCTCATTCCTGTAAGTTAGACCTAGTTTGGTAGGTTTCGGAATGAAGAGAAAGAGGAAGTAAAGTGGAACGCGAGGTAGTAAAGTGGAGTGGAACGCTACATTGCCAAATCGTACGCGACGGAAGGAGCTGGAACGGAACTATACACACCGCGCCTTACACACCGCAGCATCGTACCCCTTGGCCCAAAGCAAGCGCATGACTGCTCGCCTCATATTGCCATAACTGCCGCTCCGGCTGCTGGCGTCGGTATTGCTGCTTCCGCTGCCGCTGATGCTGCTGCTGCTGCTGCTGGCGCCGGCCGCCTTTGAGGAAGAGGCTTCCATGTTGGCGGTTTTCAGGGCGGCATGAAGTCAGCGAACAGCTGGCACTCGTCCGCGCTGACGCACTGGGGGAGGGGCGCAAAGCAGAAAGGGCGGAGAGAAAAGGGGATGGGGGCGGATGAGTTGAGCATTTAACGATTGATAGGGGGAAAAACGACAGCTACATCAAATCACTCTCACTGGCCATCCCCATCCCCATTCCGACTTCCCCTATTCTCCCTGTCCCCTTTACCCCTCACCTCAATGAGGCTCGAGACGTCCCCATTCCGCGACGCCCGCCGCTCTCCCCCATCCGCGGAGCTTGCGCGACCTGCTCCGGCATGCGCGCATTGAACGAATCCGCGCCGTCCACGTTATAGCCACCCTCGCTGCCGTGAATCGCGTCGAGCAGGCGGTGGTCGAGAGTGTGGCTCTCCGCCGAGCCGGTCTCCATAAAATCACCAACCATATCTGCGAAACACACGGACGACCGATTGTGCTCGCTGCCGGAACCGCGGAAGAGAACGAGCGGGGGAGGGGGAGCAGCGGGAAAGGGGAGAGAGGCGCACGGGGGACGCGAAGAACGGGAAAGTCAGCGAGGTAAGAGAAAAACTAGGAGATCATGACAGCCGGAGGGGAAGGAGGGGGAAGGAGTGCGAGCGTGGTGAGGGCTCTGTTTCCGGACGATAAGAGTGGCGATGGCGATAGTCTTAAGTGTGCTGGGGACGACGGAAACAGTGATGACGCGGACAGCAGCAGCAGCAGCAGCAGCGACGGCAGCATCAATAGCAGTAGCGGCAGCGCGAACAGCGGCAGCGGAGGCAGTTCCTCGCATCGAAGCTTGTTCGCCGCTCGCTCTCCGCCCTGCTACCCTGCCTCCCCACTCATCTGCTCCTCCCCCACCTTCTAGTCCTTTTGTGCACATTCGAGCGATATCGGCTCGTCCCCTGACCATCATCCCTCGTTCCGCCTCGGCTCCGCCCGCCTGCGTAACCGTCGCCGTGTCCTGGCGATTCACCAATTTCGTGATATGCCGTAACCACGCTTCACAAACGAGATGAGCGTAGGCTGCTGATGCCCTGCAGTAGCCGTTGTAGGTAGGGGGGGGGGGGGGGGTAGTACTTGTGTTTCTAACTGCAAAACTTAGACAACCAACAGGAAAGTGAATTGAACCACTCTGCCTTCAACCTAAATACAGCTGACAGAGAGTTTGCTCGAGGGTTTCGTAATGGTTGGGTTGGGAGTTGGAGCTCTGAAACTGAGCTGGATCCGAGACAATCCGAGCAGCCAATTATGTGCAAGTGGGGTTTGCGATGGAAGGTGATCGTAACCATCCATCGAAATGTTTTGATCGGACGGTCGTGCATAGTGTTTGGTTTGGTTTGCTTTGCTTTGGTTGGTTTGGTTTGATCAATGCTTTGGTTTGGTTTGGTTTCAACAAAGCCGATCGAACCCACTTGGGTGTGGATGAGCAATCCGAACTGCCCACGTATACAGCAGTTGTGCAGAGGAGGGGGAGTCCCCAGACAGTGTGGAGTGTGATCGGGATACATTGTAGGGACTCCGTTCGATAGGTTGGAGATCCCGCGTACTGGGTGTCAAGTTGGAGACTGGAGGGAGTAGCGAGTCAGTAGCGAGTGTAGCCACAGTGCATCTCGAAATACATAGTACTCACTCCCACTGTCCAAACCACCCCCCCCCGAAAAAACAAATTTGGGATGGAACGACGAGCATATCTGCATTAGAAAAAAAAAAAAAAAAAAAAAAAAGGAACGGCGGAAGTTTCGTTAAGTGCTTGACGCAACATTGGGTCCATCCAGCCTGGATTGTACACATATTCCAAGGTTAAGTTTTCAGCTTACATGGACGTCTCCTTTAAGGAATTTTAAAAGGCGAGAATCCACTATAGATATGAGCGTTGTAACGTTCGCGCTGACTTCGGCGAGCGCGTACCGTCTATCGGAGCAGTCGTCACAGCATGTCATTTCGGAAGCGTCGAGGCATCGCGAAACAGTTACATTCGGTTTCGACGGAGGCAGACCGGTGAACGGGCATAGAGGGTACTCTTGAGCATGGCAAACTGCTACGAGTAGACCAAATACTATGGTGAGGAACCAAGCGGCGACCATTATTTTCGCCATTTTGACAAGGCGGGCGCTGAAAAACAGAAGACGAGATTGGAGTTCTCTGACTAAAATGCTCAACGTCGCTACTACTTTCACCAGCTTGAACAATACATGAAGTGCGAAGGGACTCTCGTACACTCCCTCGTGCGAGCATTGACTAAAAAACTACGTGACGTTCGACAGCAAAGAATAGCTCGAGAATAAGAAATGGTTTGGTTGGGCTGGACGAGATTGCGGGGGCTGATGTGGCAAGCCGCGGTCCAGTCCACTAGTAACATCCCAGCAGGGGATATGAAAGCTTTAGTACACCCTGTTTCGCGCCACACTGACATTCGCTGTATTGACATACCGCCTATTCTGACATCAACGCGTCCGAAACGGTCCCAGAACATTGCATATAAGCACAATTTGCCGCACTCAACCGTACGCGATAGCAATGGTATGTCATAAAACGTTTTGTATCGTTCAAATGGACTGCATTTGCCCGCCACCTACCTGGGGTTCGGCTGCAAGCACCAGCCCGCAAAATCCAAGCGCACGTTCGCACTGTAGGCCGGGCTCCCGATTGTAAGAACGTTGAGAAACAGGTTGTAAAAGAGACGGCTTGTACAAAGCTGGTGAACGTGGCAAGAGAGAACCAGACGAGTCCAGAGAGCAATGGGCTTGCTGCAGCGCAGCCGCTCGTTTGGAGGTGACGCGCGGTTCGATCGAGGCTATCAGGTTTTACGCCCTGTTCGATTGCACTTCATTCTTTTGTACAGCCCCACCAAAGTATAGCCGAGTCGGCCAAGGGTGTCTGAACCGGGGTCACTACCTTCCAGATGCAACTTGACTTGGTTAACAGTTTTGACAGCTGCCCGAACAGCCCAAGTCGCAACAGTCAGAACCGCGTAGTCAACAGACAAAACAAACTTACACAGTGCGCAATTCAATTGATTCTAGCAAAATCAGATACGAGAAATTGTTTCACAAAATTCCAAAATAGCACGTGGTGAACTTCGGAAAACTCACTGTTGGGTATTTGAAAGATGAAAAATTCAAATCCCAGTGTACCCTTGAACACAAACGCGTTTCAAAAAACAATAATCAGCTGCTTTACGGGAAAACTGTACACCAAACGTTTTAGGGTACAAATGTTTTTACACAATTTCTGCCCGAAATGTTTACGCCTTCAAAGTGGCATTGGGGAGGCTGTCGTTGGTGCAGCCAGCGGAAACCAAGTATTTTTTGCCCGTGAAGTACTGTTGCTTGACCAGTGGGTAACAGTGTTCGGACCGCGGTCCGCAGCGAAAATTACCGCACCAGATTCGTAGGTGTGCCGAACGTACTTGAGGTTCTGGTTTGGGTCCGCCTAACCTCTCGTGAGGTTTAAAGCCCTCGTTTGCAGCAGCCGAGCCTTTCCCGAGCCACGCAATACTTTGATAGGACTGTGGTCACCACTGGACTTCAAAGCTATCGAACAAGGCCTTACGTTGGCGTCGTTCCGTAGGCACCTGACAATTGGGGGTGGAGGGAGGGAGAAGGGAAATGAGGAGGGTTCCGAGGAGGGTTCCGATTTCGCCTTTCCGCCCCTGGGCAAACATGCACGAAGGGAAATTTCGCATCGTGGGGCGGAATTTTCCCAAGGGAAATTATGAAGTGCGCGCTGATTTTCGCGCGCCGAAGAAAGGGATAATTCCAGACCGCTGTATAGTGAACCCAGGGTACTTCATACAGCGAGGGTAATTTATGAGAAGAAACGAGGAATGAAATGACTAAGTGAAAGTTGGGTACAAGAAGCAAACCCTAGAAAACTGTACCCCATATGTGCTACCCCACTATAGCCTACAGTAGCTATGTCATATAAATCTGACACACCCCCATAGGCAAAGTGGGGGAGAACAAGGGGTCACAAGACCAGTCAAGCAAAGCAAAGCAAAAACAAGCTCAGGGTGGATCACAAAGTCACCACACATTCCGAGCACAAGTTCAAGGCCACAAGGCCAGTTCACAAGCAGGAGTACACATATATATAAAAAGGCTAGACAAACAAGAGCAGGTATATATATATATAACAGTACAAGCAAGGTCAAGAGGTGAGCAAGTGAGGCAAGGTAGGCACAAGGCCCAGCTGAGTACAGAAGCGCTGATGGTCACAAGGCGCAAGTGCCTTGGTGAAGATATCAGCAGTGTTGGCCTCAGAGGCCACGTACGCAAGACGCAGCTGACCACGCTGCTGCAGCTCACGAGCAAGAAAGTAGCGGAGAGCAATGTGCTTAGTTCTGTGCTCCAGTCGCTGCTCCCGACACAAGGCCAGCATGGCCTTGTTGTCTACGTACAGCACTGGAGGAGAACGAGGCAACTCTCCGAGGTCAGTCAGCAGGTAGGTGAGCCAGAGAAGCTCCTGTGCAGCCATGGCTCCTGCGTAGATCTCAGCCTCACAACTGGAGCCGAGAACAGAAGACGAGCGAGTAGCCCGCCACGAAACAGAGCCGGAACCAAGGCTGAAGGTGTAACCCTGTGACGACCGCTGCGTAGCCTGGTCGTCAGCCCAAGAAGCGTCTGCGTGCCCAGTAAGGACCACTGGACTCTGCCCTCCAAGCACAAGCCCCATGCCCGACGTACTGCACAAGTAGCGCAACACCCTCTTAGCTGCAGCCATGTGCTCCGGTCTGTGTCTCCCAGGAGCAACATAGCGTGCAAGAATGCTAAGAGGGTATGCAAGGTCAGGTCGTGTGCAGGTCATCAGGTACATGAGGCAGCCAACAAGCTCTGGGTACGGGCCACTCGACTCTACGGACTCATCCGAAGGCAGAGCTGAGAGCGAGTGGCGAGTAGGCAGAGGAGTGGCCTGAGGCGAGGAGTACGTGAAGCCGAAGCGCTGAAGGACCTGCTGCACCATGTGTGACTGAGTCAGGGTAATGGTGCGGCGTGCTCTGTCCCGAGTGATCTGCAAGCCAAGGTAGCTGCGCAGTTCACCCAGGTCAGTGCACGTGTGTCTCTTCTGCAGCTCGGACTTCACGTGGGCTAGTCCAGCAGTGTCAGCTGTGGCAAAGACCAAGTCGTCGACGTACACGAGGATGTAGAACGGCGGCAAAGAAGTGTCGGTGCGCAGAAACAGCGACGGGTCGGCAGTAGAGGGAGCAAACCCAAGAGCTGCAAGTGTAGTCCTCAGTGTGTCGTGCCACTCACGCAGTGCCTGGCGGAGACCGTAGACTGGCCGCCGTAGGCTCCACTGGGTGCCAGGAGGAAAAGACCCAGTGAAGCCAGGTGGGCGACGCAGCCAGATCTCCTCGTGCAGGCTGCCCTGCAAGAAAGCAGTGCTGAAGTCAAGAGAGTGTAGCTCGTAGTCACGGTGAGCAGC